TCTTTACTTAAACTTGCAGTGGCCTATACGATGTAATTCATGTAATTTGCCAAATAAACACCTGCCTAATCCAATTTTAGACAAACGTTTTCAATCGAGGCAATTAAGATGAATAAGTCTCAATCAATTACGTTTTCCATCCTGATGCAACAAAGGACTGAACCATTGAACTGGTTGGGTTTCACCTGCGTTCTATCGGCTGGTGACTCATTCAGAGACACATGGCCCTGGCACTGTCCGTGACACAAGCCAGGACCTCAAGAGCAAAACAGAAAATAAAAACTTGTAGTCAAGGAGGAAAATGTGAAGAGTGTGGTAAAAGCCTGGTATGCTTTGTATTTTATCTCAAATAGTTGGAAACCCTATTTACTGTGGCTTTTGTAATGTTATATTTATATATTTTGCCAATTGTATTCTGAATCCGTAATGTTTTATCATGCAATTGTGAAACGTACCTTAATAAATGAAGTACAAAGATTAAACGCATATCAGTGATTCGCCAAATTAGAAAATAGATATATACAAATATATAAGAATATGAGCTGTTGACATCACTTTGTGTCTTGAAGAAACAACTACATACCATGGAGGTGAGTGGGACTGTTTGCTTGTCATTTGTTTTATTGTTTTGACATGCGGCTGAACCAAACCCATCACAAAAAGCTTGTCTGCGGTAACACAAAATTGTGAAGAAATGCAAAGTAGATGGAAACATCTGCCAGTAACATTTCCACCAACAAACCAAATTAACTACAATCTACTTTTGAGCGTTCTAAAAATGAATATGAACTGGCCACAGGAAGTGTTGCTCTATTCACTGAGTTTTTTACACTGTCACCACACGAGCTACACGTTGACTATGTGTTTTATTTTCATCTAAAGCCGATGAAGACTTCCTTCCTCTCTTGCAGCCACAACAACTAGAGATCTGGCATCTGACACCAGGCACCACCCACCAAGCTACAGCAGCAGCTCTCTTTCTTTCAGACTTTTTGGTACAGCCTTGAAAAAAGAAACTTCCAAATCCTGTGTACTTTCTCTATAGAATATACTATCTGTCTCTTAGAACTGACTTTACTCTTCCAAATGCACACACACCCACACACTTCACACACACACAGCAGGAAGAACTCAACAAGAGAAACTGCCAGCTCAGTGTTTAAAATGCCACAATGACGGCCGTATGAAACAGGTTTACACGATACCCCCTTTTTAACTCCTTTTAACAAAGATAATTATACTTAACAATGAGGCTGATCTCATGCTCTGCCTCTTTTTTTTCCTTTTATTGCATTACTGTCATGCCTTCTGAAAGGAAAGGTGGCAGGAGAGAAAGAGGCCTAATCGTTTGAAGGTGACTAATCCAGATTTTAATATGGAAAACCACATGAGCTAATGTCTTGAGAGAGTAGTATGGCATGAAAAAGGAATATTCTTATGTAGCCAGGAATTTGAGGCTTAAGATATACTCAATAAATCCTTATATAAGCGTTACATTAAAACGCTTATTGCCTTCAGCCGAAAGGGTAACCTATGATATAAAACATATTGTGGATCTGAGATGAGAACTCAATGGGAGTGTTTTGGTGTCAGGATGAACATCTTAATAGGTATGAATGAGTTTATGATGATGAAGCCAACGTAGAGTGAGACAGGGAGTTAAAAGTCTGGATGAAACTTCAGACAGTTTTTTATCATGTGTAGCCGCCAAAGATAATTAACATTTCTGAAGTCAGACGCGGTTTTTTCAGATAAATGTCCTGCCATGAAACATCATCTGCATACCATAAATTCCCTGACACTCAGAAAATGAACATATACAGACAAACATTTTTAATTAAACTGTGAACCAACTGTCTCAGAAAGATGTGAAACTGATCGTGAAACTGATGTTTTTGTTTCTATTACAAACATAATTTTTAAGTTTATACGTATGAAGACACATTAGCTCATGTATTGCATACTAGTACATTTACTTATTTTCTGCTTTAGAATAAATATAATGGCATTTCTACGCAGATAACTACATGCACGATGTCACATAAAATCTCAGGCTGCTCTACCAAGCATGAAAACTGGCAAATGCTGACTTCCTCTGGGCCAAAGACTAAAGATAACTTTCCAGTATATAACATATATATGTCATAACACTCAAAATAAATACTTCTATATTTGATCTTGTATTTGTTTCTGGGGGCTATTAAGAAAGAGGAATGCGTGGACGGGTGGGAGACTTCACACATATATTTTGGGACTGTCCAACCATTCAGGGCTTCTGGAAGGATGTTCAAAAGGAGATTAAACGGGTGCTGGGCATTACCTTTACTTTGGACCCAGCATTTTATATACTGGGTATACTGCCCAGTGATATGGACAGAAATGTAGCTTTCTTACTAAGAATTCTTCTTCTAATTGCGGAAAAAATTATAACGGTCTCGTGGCTGAACCCGCAGCCCCCCAATATAGTTCCACTGGATGTTTTGAAAATGTTTATTTAATGGAGGAAAATCACAGCAAGGACTACAGCTGAAAAACTGACAAAATTCGAAGAAAAAATGGTCCCCATTAATACAAGCAACACCAGATCTCTAGCAGCACCTCTTTACTTATTTATTTGTATTTCTTTCTTTTTCATTTATTTTATTCACTGCACTTGTACTTGTTTCATCTGGATGGTAAAGCACTGGCTCTTACTATCATAAGGGTTCAGGTATTGTGCGATCATGTTTCCGATGAGGGGGAGTGATAATATCTGTAATATGTTGATAATGTTTGCACAATATAGAAATTGATAACACTAAGAAACTGTATGTCCTTTTGGTGCCCAAGGAGGGTATGTATGATTAATCCTGGGGGTATTAATAGCTGCAGTTATGTAAGCATCTCCATGTATGTTCTATTGCTGCATCTGACGAAGAGATAGGTTGTTGTGCTCCATATCTCTGTTTCTTATCCTATATCTAATAGAACTGCTCGGGTCTTGATAGATTGAGTGGGGAAGTTCATGAGATCTTTCTAGAGGGTTATCAAGAATAACTTTTATCCAATGACCTTTTCCCTCTCTGTCTGTGTCTGTGTATTCTCTTGTTCCGATTAACCCAGCTTAATCTTTTTTCTTGTTTTGTATCTATATCTATGCCGGGATCCGGAGTCGAGGCTGATCCTCTTGCTGTAGTCCTGTGTCTTGGATCCTCTATCCTGAGTTCTGGATTAAGTCGTGGACTTCGGGTCGTGGCTGAACCTGTCTCTGCGGTCCTGCCTTGGGTCTCGCCATGCTGCTTCCCTGATGGCTTCCATAGGATTGTAGCTGACATCCTCGTGGATTCATCTTCTTATTACAGACACATGCATTTCCTAACATTCGGTTCTATATGCTTGTAAAATGTATTATCTCTTCGATTTACACACGGCATCTATTGCACGTCTGTCCGTCCTGGGAGAGGGATCCCTCCTCTGTTGCTCTCCCTGAGGTTTCTCCCATTTTTTCCCCTTAAACTGTGGGTTTTTCTCTGGAAGTTTTTCCTTGTACGATGTGAGGGTCTAAGGATAGAGGGTGTCGTTTTTTCTCATACTGATATTCTGAACAATCTGTGCTGTTGTATTTGCTGTAAAGTGTCTCTACTGTAGGCTATTTTTATTATATGTACAGCACTTTGGCTCGACCAAAAATCGTTTATAAATATGCTATATAAATAAAACTTGATTTGAGTTGATTTGATATTGATGTTATGTATGAAAAATAAATAAAAAGTTAAAAAAAAAAGAAAGAAAGAGGAATGCACTTTTGAATGCTTAAGCACAGCCTAAATACAGGAGTTAAGGGCGGAGAAGTCTCTGAATTACTAACTAAACTAATGTACTGCAGCAACAATAAACTATTTTCATTTCGGATTAATCCGACATTTCTTTTTTATTTATTTATTGATGGCATTTGTTGAGAGAGTTAGATAGGAATAATGCTCTCACGTTGTACCATGAATACAAAAGTACAGATGGAAAACAGTTAGCTTAGCACAAAGCCTGGAGACAAGGGAAAATAGTAGGTGGTAGGTCCCCAGTCAGGAAGTCTTTATCGTTCCAGTAAACAGTGTCTGCCTTGAGCCAGACAAGAAAGTGCATAGAACACCTTAAATCCAATTAAGATAATATTTTACACTTTTTTGTAAGGATTTAATAAACGAGATATAATGTGTTAAGTAACACATTTTGCTACAAGATGAATCTCATTTCTGTTGGACAAAGCCCCCCAAAGAGAGTATTTATGCCTAGCCAATGGTGACTGACTGTCCAAAATTAAAGATAGTCAATCGAATCCAACATAAAACAAAGAAGAGCCTTATTTGCAATGGAGAAGCTGGAACAAGGTAATGCTTGATAAAAAACTCAAATGAATCAAACATTGATACATTTTCTGCCACTCTACTAGTTTGACTAATCATTTCAGCTTTAATGTATCTTAAAATAGTTCTATGCTACACATAAAAACATAATTAGTCAGTAAATACTAATAGCTCATTAGACTGTATTAAAGCATTCATAAAATAAGGTTGATCTCTTCTGGAACATCAGTAACATTATCAGCGTTTGTATGTTAACACGTTTTTTTAGCAAACATTAAAGCTTTCGGTTGCTGTAAATAACTACATTTAAATAGTGTTGTGTGCACCCTTACTTTCAGGAGTGAGTGTGTCAAAAATACTTGTGCGGGCCTTCTTCCTCATTTCATTACAGGAAGTGAGTTTGCAGTCAGATGCAGAGCTGTCGTCACACTCTGTGACAGGTCATTGCTGTAAGCTGTTATGAACATGATACTTCTGTAGTAGCGGTCTCGGCTGCTGCCACCATGGGTCATTATCTCTTTAAACACACTTGATGCCATCACAGCAGGCCATCTACAACTCCCACAGGTAGGTGTCTACAATTTATACCGCCAGCCGCATTCAAAGCTTTCCATCTCGGCAGGTTGTTGACATTTCACATTATTTCTCCATACTGGCCAACACTGTGATGCAACCTAAGGGTATGGTCACAGACAGGATCTGTTGAAATGCCTCATGGTGTAATTTATGAAATGTGAATTGCATTTTAAAACAAGCGGACATGATTTTGCAATATGTGAATTCAATATCATTATTCATTGGTGTACACAGGGTTGGGTTTACCAATGGAAAATTCTGACTGATAGCATCTAGCCCCAGCTTCCCTATTCTGAGTATGTTGTTTGAGATAGGTCAATGGTCAGCTTATAGGAAGTAAAAGCTGTGTGGAGTGGCAGCAGTAGAGAGGTTTAGTTTCATAACAGAAATACAGACACATGAGTGGAACATTTGTTTGTAGGTTCACAGTCGTTCTGTCCTTGTGCCTTGACTCCAGGCTGGAGGATGGGGAATATAATGCGAGGTGAGAGTGCCAAGGAGACGATCAACACAGACAGCTCTTTAAAAGGTAAGAATGCTTAAAGATGATTTTAAATAACATAATTTGAGTTGTATAAGAAACTGTTGTGGAAACGTTTGTCGCTGTGCCTACTCCAGTTTAGGGTAGCAATTAAGGGCTGTTGTCATTTTAAATGAATCTGCCTATCATTTCTTTTGTTTATTCAATACATGTTTTGGCCTATAAAAATGTCATAAATTACAAGTTATTTCAAAGTTAAGGGGACGTTTTTTAACGTTTGTTTTGATCATTTAAACCTCCAAGAAATTCAGTTTAAATTGATATCAAACAGAAAAAAGCAGGACATCTACTTTTTTGATTAATTTAACAAACATATACTTTAACAATTCTTAAAATAGTTAAAATTACTAGTTATCCACTTTCTTCGAATGCACAGCCTGATTGTATCGGAGATGTCATGATCTTAAGCTAAACTCAATGACTTAAACAAAAGGAATTTCCGAGGTGTAGTCCCACACATCTCTGGACTTTTCTAAATCATGATGTCTTTGTATTTGCATTAGTAAATGTCAGCTGTACTCTGTTTGTAGAAAAGGCTGTAACTATTGTTCTCGGCAGGCCTGGAGGACGACATGGTGGTGGTGCTTCAGGACTACCCGTCGCCGGACATCAGCGAGCCGATCTACAGGATGGGGGAGAAGCTCAGACTCATAGCTCAGTACGTTCATGCATTAGCTTTCTTCATTTAAAACCATTTCAGTTTCTTCTGTCCCTGGCGTTAACTTGGTAGATGGAAGATCTCAAATCAAAATGAGGAAATACAGTTGAATTAGTTACTTGATGCAGGATAGAGAAGTGTTCACACGAAAGGTCAATGTTTGATTCCTCTTTGCTTCTTCCTGGTCAGGGAGTCTTACTGGTGGAGAGTACGCTCCATCCAAACACAAAAGGAGAACTACATACCCAACAGCCATGTGGCAAAGGTGTACCATAGGTAAGTAGAACCATATTGAAACCATCCGCCAATATCGGCATCATTGATCTGTTTCAACATAACATCAAGAATATCAAATGCATCTTTTTCCACTACAACAATCTGAAGGAAGTTGCGGGAGATGTTATTATTAACACAAAATATTCATCAAATTAGTGTTGTACGTGTAGATTTTATGTTTATTTGTTGTGTATGATAATGTTAATATATAATAAAATGAAGGGATTGATTCAGTTTAAAAACATAAAAGTCTAAAATGCAATGAGTATTTAATGTGATCGCTAACACATGACTTTTTTTGTCAGTTGGCTGTTTGAGGGGGTGGAGAGGCAGAAGGCCGAAGAGCTGCTCAGTTTACCCGGGAACAGAGTGGGCTCCTTCCTGGTGAGGGAGAGTGCCAGGGAGAGAGGTGAGTGCTTTCTGTACAATGTTTAAGAGTTTCTGCATCGGAAATATTAAGACTGTTTACAAGTAAGCAAGTACTCTTTCAGATGTTAGGAGAAGTGAAAGGGTTTTTACTAAAGTTTCCCCTGATGGCTTTAAATAAAAGGAATTGAGGATTAGGGATAGATTTTTTTTTTATGTTAGAATTTACAGAAAATCCGTTTTGGGGGCATCAAGATGGTATACGGCCATTTGCTTCAACTCAATGTTTTCTGTATGTAGAGGCACATTTCTAAAAAGAAGTCACAACTACAAAAATAAGCTGAAGGAAAATACATTTGATGAAATACACTTATTCACTTTCTTGCCGAGCATTAGATAGATAATGCCAAGAAACGTAGTCAAAACAGCGTAGACAAAGAAATTGATACTTTTTCACTTTTTTTCTTACTGATTAAACAAATATTGCATTATTAATTATCATGGTTATTATACTTACAATGTGACGATAAGCAGTTTTCTTTTACTTTTGCTAACAAATATTTGTTTAAGGAAACAAAATCTCCCCTAAAAAATTCTGTGCGGTCAGAGTATGATCTGAAACTTTTCTTTACCAATGATACAAAAATACTCATTTCGAGAGGAAATATACTACAGAACAGGATTGACATTCACTTCTGCTTTTATATTGTCCCAACCTTTTCTAGTATCGATTAAGAGTGGATCAATTGTTATTGATGTTTTTGGTTTCTTGTTGAAATGTGTGTTTCTACATCCTCAGGTCTGTACTCGCTCTCAGTGAAGCACAGGAGTGTAAAGCACTATCGTATCTTAAGACTGGACAACAGCTGGTACTACATCTCCCCTCGCCTCACTTTCCAGTGCCTAGAAGATATGATCAACCACTACTGTGGTGAGTGTATGCACACACACTGAGATACGTAACTATGCGCAGATAAGTATGTCTAAAATCAAACAAAAAGGAAATAAGCATCATGATAAAGGAGAGCCGTACACACGCACATAAACATCATCAAATGCGATTAAGCACTGAAAATAGTACATCATGTTCTTAATATAAACTGTTTGCTCATCAGTGGTCGACTTTCGATATATATATCCTGCTTTTACAGAATATCTTTGTACAAAACAGGAAATGAGATACAATATGCATGCTAGATAAGGACGACTGTTGAGTTTGGTTTGAAATGTTTGCCTGAGCGTTGAAAGGAGTAAATGCAAATAATTTATTCTGTTTGTTTGTTATCCTGTGAGAATGATTTAAACTTCCCCTATTGATGCCTTTTCAGACGCTTCAGATGGCCTCTGCTGTGCTTTAACCTCCCCCTGTCAGTCGAGCACGACCCCCCCCGCCTGACTCAGCCCCACCTCGTAGTGATGAGACGCAACTTTGGACTGGAAAGACAAATAGACAGGTACAACTGATTGATGATATTTACCAGCTTTAATCGGGCAGTGCATGATGCTTGTCCAATGGTGGCTTATTTTGTGTCACCATATAACTGTTTTTATAAGGTGGACACTGTAAATGCAGTATAAAACAGTTTTTTACTGCATTTCTAAATAGCAATGGTCAAATGTAAGATTGAATAATCTGCACATTACTTTTTCAAACAACAAATGAATGGTTTCACCAATGAAATGTTGGAAACTGTGAAAAATCAATCCCAAAATGGCTGATAATGAAATAGCTTGTTTTTATTCTGACCCACTGTCTGAAAATATTGAATCTTCGAACTACAGCCATTTCTCATGACAAATGTCTGAAACAATTCAAATAAATTAAATAAATGTCTTTAAATTGACAAATTATTTATTCAACTTCTTGTTATTGAATTTAGTTGATCGATTCAAATAAAGTAATGGCTTGAAATCAAGATGTGGATAAACATCAATGAAAGAGAAAATAAAAGCATTACGATTCTTAGTTTTCATTATTATTTCTGTAATTTCCTCTCTACAGCAAGCAGCTGGTGAGCACAGAGAGCTGCGGTGACAACATGGTGAGCTATGGAGTCAGGAACAGCATCGCTGCCTACCTGTCCTTTTCTGGGAATCGAGACCCTGCACAGATGAGAGCCGCCAGCAGGAGGAAAAAGAGTAAATCTATGTATGCTCTCCCTGAGAACGGCCACGGAACCATTGACTATGAGGACTTCTAGAGACAGCAGCGGGGTTCAAAGAATGAAATACCTTCAGGTTGAAGGCAGTAGAGGGCATCCTTCTCAGCAGCATCCCAAACCTCGAAGTGTGCTATAGCTTCTAATGTGAGCACTTGAAGTACTTTAACAATAACGCAAATTGCATGAGCGCTTACACTTTGACTCAGCTAATAAGATGGAACTTTATGGAGTTGAACTGGACGATGGTGCAATTGAACTGTGGTGTGTATTCTGGACGAGTCATGATCACAAACAGCCGGCATTAGGAGAGCGAAGAACAATGTTATGGGTATTGTTTGGTAATTATATTATTCATATTTGTGTGTGTATATTAGTATTTGTGGCTTTCAAACTATTCCCAGTGTTCTTAATAAATGTGATATGGTTAAAAAGCAATCTTTTGAACCCATAGATATCTCTTTTTGTTGCCACCACATATTTTCATCTTATTATGTTGATTTAAAAAATGGGCTAGCAAATAGTTGCTTTTTTGCAAATCAAGCAGACATGGAGCAACATTCACAATCATTTGGAGTTATGTTTATGTCCCCCTTGATAAGTCTGATGTCAATTATCCTTTTATCTCTGTTTTGGTCTCAACCAATTACTGAAGAAAATATGTGGCCCTTTGGTTGCTAAATGCTCCACTCTGCTCACCAGCTAGTCGCTAAATTGGTTTATCAAAGCTGGGAACTGGCTGATTCTTATGACAGGTTTTAATTGTTTGTCACTACAAGCATACCACTTTCACATTTAAACAAAGTCTATTGATCCATCCTAAATATACTGTAGAAGGATTAGAGAGAACTTAAGTCTAACATATTCTGTGTGGAGGAAGTAGAAGAAATAACCATTTGAGAAAATGATAAAACATTCCCTGATTGGTTCTCAACATAATTCACAAGAGGAACAAACTAAAATACATTGGGTAAAGGTGACTGCATAAATTCACATTTCAATTCGATTTATGGTACTTGGGCGGATGTGGTGCTGCAAGATCTATGAATCTAATTCGATTGTCAATATTTTTTTTATTCTGTCCATGTGTCAGTAATTATCTTGGGAAGCATTTGGAACTATTAGTCATTTAAATTTTGATCCGGTGATGACAATAGCAAAAGAACAGTCGCCTTTTTGAAATGTCCCGACCTAGACTGCCAACATATTTGTTCAAACTTCCTCTGTCACCAGTGTGTCGTTTCTTTCACAGTAGGATAGGTCTCCATATTGGCACATGGTCAAACATATGATAGGCTATTAAATTATTTAATTAAATGATAAATAAAAGTGTATCTTTAATAAAAGAATGCAAACATTGAATAGACTTATTTGTGCCAGAAAAACGTTTACCAAGCTCCCCCTCAACCCCTTTCGTATTCGTGCTTTAAGCAACTTCCTCTTGTGTTTGAAGAGTTTGACCTTGAAACATTGTTAACCCACTAACCCAAAACAGCAAACCTGTGAGATATGTGAGAACAGATCTGTGGGTCTAGCATATTTTGTTATGTTTAGCTCTCTGCTTCTGCTGGTGCCTCTGAGTCAGAAGAGAATGATAAATGTGTCTGAGAACGTCTGAGCGGAGCCGGTTAGTCAGTGAGGAAATGGGGGTCTACACACGTTTGTTAAATCAAACATCATAGTAACTCAAATACATTCACACAGTATGGAGGGCCTTTTAAACTGGTTTTAACAGCGTGTGACATTAGTCAGTTTTAACAACGTTTTTGGCTGCTGGTGTAATTTCAAAGATTTACAAAAAACCTATGCTGTCTAAAACATATCCTCATCCTCCTCTATACATCCTGAAAGTTGGCAACTCTGCCAATCAAAGTCAACTGAGTGTGACTAGTTATAAGACGCGCTGAGCACTTTCATCTCAGTTAAAAGCAGGATCAAATACTTGTTCCCGGTTTAAGGTGTGTGTGTGTTTAGTGGAACACTCAGTGATGCAGACACACACACATCTGGTAGCCTACTGCTGCCACCATACAGAGACTTCTGTCCAGTCAGCATTACTCAGTCCTCCAGACGACGTGTAACTAGTCTAAAAGAACACTAACGCTCCTGCTCTGGGTGATTTTCCTGTTGTTCAATGTCTATTCATTGACAGTTCGCGTCAGAAAGTGCAAACAGATATGGGGTGTGAAGCAAAGTTGAGAGTTCATCTCTGAATCAGAATGAAGGCAAACTTGTGGGAAACATGTTTTCATCAAAGTCTGCTTATACATTCAAAATAAACTCCCTTTGACTGATCTAGTATTCATCCATATTCACATCCCTGAACGTTCAACAAAAAAACAACAACTCTTCCCTGAAATCACGTGAGCATTCGTGTAAATACCCATGCAGATAAGAAAGACAATACCTCCGTCACCCCACCAATCACCACACATTCTGTGGGTTTACAGTTGGGGAAAAAAGGCTCTCGGTAGGATGAAGAGCGGAAGAACTACAGCTTCAAATTTAACAGAAACCAGACAGAACGCATGTTGTTTTACGAGGAAGAAACCCTGAGAGGTCTTCATGATGAGACAAAAGGGATTCCAAAGTTGAGTCCCTTGTTCTCATGATTGATGTTACAGTGGATATAAGTACCAAAGAAAGCACTCAAACAATAAAGTTTTAGGTTTTTTTCCATGAACAAAAACAAGAGGAGGAAGGAGAGTTGAGGGCCGTTCATCTCTTAGTCTCAGGAGAAAGGGAGTGGGATAAGCAAAGGAAATTAAGAGATGGAGGGAGATTCCTCTTCCTCGAGTCTGTTTTCTGTTAATCCTGCTCTTATAATCTCACTACATCCTCCCTTCCAACCGAGGCCCAGCTGTCCAAACCTCTGACTTCATCACTTCTGCACTGGATGCACGCTTCAAAATATCCAGATAAATGTTTGCTTTGTTCCATCACAAACACATTCTGTCCTTGGCCCCCTTGTTAATTAAAACTGCTGTTTTCATTCTCCATGCTGTTGCTTTCAACCCATGAAACAGTCTTATTTTGTAAGGGGAGATCTTCTAGGGTTTTCAGGGTGACTATTATCAACATTAGCTTTCACTAGTTATTCTCTTGAACTCGATTTTCAGGAATGGTATATTTAGTTAGAGCGTTTCCTGTCAGAACACCTCACCACATGAGCTATAAGGTTAATTTGGTGTGAGAACTTGACATTTCACTCTAATTTAAAATCTGATCACTTCCTTCAGGTGTAAAATAGAAATAAGTTGAAGTCTTGTCATGGACTATCTCACTCTATAGCCCAAAAATGGACACAGAGATGAACATGAAGTTTTATTGAGAAACAAATAAACAGTGATGGTTAAACTACCCTCAGAACATTAACTTTAGAGGGCGTTTGACAATTTTCACCAAAGTTGTGAAATAACCTCTCCTTCAGAGCACTGTCAACACTGAGTGTTCACTTCAGTTACAGCCCATGAGAACATCTCCTTTAATGTAGAAACAAGGGCTTCGGCCAACACACACAACCATGTCCAAGGCTGTCCAGAGAGCCAAAACCCGAACTCTCCAAAGAAAAAAAGGCACAAATATCCACATATTTGCCGCGGAATGGAGTGTTCTTATGTGACCCGAGGAATCTCCCTAGTCTCATTCCTTTACCATTTCTGGTACATGATTCTGCAGAATGAGTCAGTGATGTTTATGCTCATAAAAGGGCTTTAAAAAATATTTTCAACTCAGAGGAAACATAGAGACAATCGCTACAAAACAAGTATGCAATGTGCTTTGTGTGCTTTCATTGACATGTTACAAGTCTGTGCAAAGATCTTTGTGATTTCTGCATGAGCAAACCTTTCTCTAGTGACAGCTGTTTTATTTGTTGGACATGATTAATCATGTACTGTTGAAGTTGAAGGGTGGATATTTGGATCAAAGAAACAATCTGCTGCTACGCTTCAAGCAAATAAAAGAGGTGGAGAATTCGTCTTGGAGAAAAATTCCCTTTCCATGAGGAGATTTTCAAGATGTTTGCCACGTGGCTTCAGACAATAATTACCACAAGCCCTGTGCAGGGCGCTTCTAATTAGAAATTGTTGGTAAACCTAAATAAGCCCACTTGGTGACTTAATGTATATATCCTTTTCAGCATCTCATAAAAGAGTCTTGTTAAATGTTTACTGGCAAGAGAAAGCGTGTGGTAAGAATCCAAGGCTGAAACCTCTTAATACCTGTAAATTATTCCACGTGTATGCATGTGGATTTGGCGTCTTACCTGTGCAGTGTGCATGTTCTTTCCATGGCCCTCAGCTCTTGTTGAACCCCATTCATCTCTGGAGGAGGACAAGCAGGATGACAGCTGTGGACAAACTAGTGTCAGGAATAAGTTTGAAGCCCCTCGAAGCCAGGTAGCATGAAAGAGGGAATAAAGATTGATGGGCACCAAGTCAGAGAAGACAGAAAATAATATGTGATTGATGTAACCAGATCTGCTAGACTAGTGACTCTCAATTATTGGAACATACATTTTTCAACTGACATTAAAGTTATATATTTAAAATGCCGGCAGGCATTAAAACAAACAAGTTCAGACCACTTCCTCTGGTCTTAATGTTAAAGTCAATGTTGAATGACGTAAGTGTCAGATAAAAACCTTGCCTCTCTCAAATGATAAAAATAAAAGGAACCAACAGACTTGTTTTGCCACCATGTGTTTTTGTCATGAGCATTTTGGCTTTAAGAAAAGAGTCCTTTTCTGCTGCCAGGGACACATTATCCCTTTCTCTCACACACAAATGCACTCAGATACTCTTCATTTAAATCATGATAGCTTTATTTCCTTTATCAGAAGCAAATGTCCATGCTACTGGCTCTGGTCATGCTCTCTGTCAATATGCCACTCATGCAAGCTACTGTCTCCTTACATTATTCATACAGTTAATGTTTTATAAACTCAAACCTATCAGCAGAACAACGGACCAGCAAGTTCAAGGAAGAATAACAACGCTTCTTGTTCCATGGTAATCATAAATCCAGTGTACATATACGTTGTTAAAAGTTGTGATCACTTGCTGAACATCCAATCTGATCTTTTCAGTTGTAATGCATTTGGATTGCTTTCAATTTAATGTCAACACTGTGTAGGGAAGCTGCAACGTGTCATGTACACGTGATAAAATATGTTTGAACTAAAGGAGTCGTGAATTTGACTTACAATTACAAACACACACATGGGCTATTGTCAGAGCCTCGGGGCCTCACTGCCTTTGGAGAGAGGCCAGAAATAACAGAAAAGCTCTGACATGATTGATTGCACCTTTGGCCGCCGATTACCACAGAGAAAGCCAATAATAACTTGACATGGGACCAGCTTATCAGAGTGACACCGCTCCTCTGCAGGCATGACATTTGAAAAACAGCAGGATCTCCAAACACCAGATTCAGAGCAATGGTTAGGGATATGTTTTGGTGCTGATGCATGTTCGTACATTTGCTGACAGCAGAGTAGGAACTTTATGATTCCACGTTGAAGCTTTTTAGAGGAAGAGATCACTGTGAGACTGTACTTGTGATTCAGTCAACCAGGGCATTGACCACACTCTTACTTAATTTGTTCCTGTGACACAGGAACACATTTAACAGCCCTTTAAAAGCACTACCCTGAAATGTAAGTTCCTCATTTGAAACCCACTTTACATAGCAGTGAATAAACAAAGGGCTTAAATGTGCTTTCGGCAGCGAATAACTCAATCTGTTGAATGGCAAATGCAGGTGTGCGTGCCTCGTTGCTTTCCAGGAAACAGACTGGCAGCGTTTCTAACTGCAGCATAACTCTATTATTTCAGACATTTATGAAAAGAAGAGATACTGAATGTGAGCCTGGATTTCATGCAACACTGCTCACAAACGATGAAGTGCTGAAAGTGTTACTGATAGCTTGTCTGCCTGAACCACTTATGGAAAATAAATCCACTTCCTCACAATAATTATTTCCATCTGCATTACAACACAGAAACATCTAATGTGTCTCTCTGGGGTTAAACAGCGCTAACTGTGTGCCACGAAGCAGGAAATCCTTACTCTTCTGGCCTTGTATGAGTACAGTTCTAATGAAGCGAAACAACTGGTTTTCTAAAAGCCACGCAGGCACCCCCCTTGGTTTTCTCTTCCCTTATCAGGCTCTCCTGGCACTGAGGACCAGCTATGAAACAACGTTGGACAACTTCCATTGCAGAGAGAGACTGCTGGAGCCGTCCTATCACAAACAACAGGCCAGAGAGGAAGGTCTGCTCGCTGTAGCAGTAGCTGACGTGGAGTTACTCGTGAATCCTACACCAACGCACACACACACACACACACACACACACACACACACACACACACACACACACACACACACACACACACACACACACACACACACACACACACACACCACACACACCCACACACACACACACACACCCACGCACACACACACACACGCACGCACGCACGCGCACACACACACACACACACACACACACACACACACACACACGCACACACACACACGCACACACACACACGCACACACACGCACACACACAAGCATTTGCAGCTGGAGTAACTCGAGCTGACTGTTTGACAGCCAGCCAGTGAACCTTGAGGTCCAGTGCTGAAGACCGGGAGACGGAGCAATGTTTCTTTTCAACAATATGTAGTAAAGCCTTGGGAATGTACACAAACTGACATATACATGTGATAAACACAGATGCACACACACTCTCGCAAAAATCAACATCCATGGAGTTCACCAGGACATACAAGACACTCTTCACTCACATATTTCAAAATGACAAATTGACAACAGCATCATGAACCCAAACAGAATCTATTGGACAGGATATTTACAGAGACATCTTAACTTTAGGTATAAAGTAACCTGTTAACTTGAACTTTTCTTAACCTGTTGCTCTACTTGCAGCGACTGTACAACCTAAAGTGGGATTTTCTTTGGAAAAGGGTCACAAATTAAGCTGATGATTTATGTCAAGAAAGGTCTTGTGTATAGGAAAAGTCTAAAGCAAGATTGGATATCTGAGACATTCCCTTCATGTCCACTCTTTCCATAATGGTTTTGCGTTTCATCTTTGAATTAATTGCAGACCATGGCCTACCACAGAGAGAGGAGTAATGGAAAAACTCATTATGATGAGTCTTCACAGAAACACTTTCCAAGTCTCGGTCGTGGGGAGTAGATGAATGGAAAACTCATCGTGCCCCCAAATATCAGCTGAATCTCTCACTCCTGCCCTCTCCTCTAAAACTATTTAACCAAGATGAAGTCATCATTGCATAATCATCCTCGTGCCATGCCAGTCCCCTCCACATTGTGCGCATGGAGCCAGATATGTTTGGTATGTGATTGGTCTGGACTGGGTCAGAGAGGGGCTATTTCAAAAATCCAGGGAGGGTAACAGTCCCTCATTCCTGCATCCATTCAGACCCTCTTCATTACACAAACCACTCAGATACAGATACTTAAAATGTCTATGCACGATCTGTGAGAATCAATAGCCAAGAGGGGAAAAAATGACACGTATCAGAGTATGGTATGTTGCAGTGGATCACAGACACTGTGAGATGGCATAAATGATCTACACATTTAAAACATGCATATTAATAAAATATGAATATTTTAAACTGGAGGAATTACTTATTATTTTTACATATATGTGCCAGCATCATGCAGAGGATTTGCTTTTAAATAAACGTTGGTGTCCTCTGAGTTTGAATGTGTAGAGTTGAATGCAGTTGCTAGCAGTAGTCTGACATCTAGTGGTCGATGCTAAAAACTGCTTTCCTTATATCTCCAGGGTGGTATGACCCTGCCAAACAAAGTGCAACACATATGCTTTGGGCATGCATTGACCCCTTAGTTTTAATTTGTTAACACATATTTGTTTAAGCACGATTTTAACACAGTATACACATAATAATGCAAGATCAACCCTAAGGTCGTTATAATTTGAGGTCACAATGTTGTGTAATGTTGAAAAATGAGACTTCATCCAAAGACCACAACTCAAGGGACCCACAATAAATGGGTTTTCTGGGCCTCTAAATATCCAGAGTCATGTAAAGGACTGGGAAAAACAATGACAAATCACACACCGTTATATATACCAACCTGACTCAAGTGACAATGTCAATCAGAAAAACATTTCACAACTGTTTATTAAAGCAGAAGTTTTTATAAAAATTTTAAAGAAAATCAACATGAGAAAAAAAGTGCATGCCTACCTTTCCAGGTCTTTTGGCAGATGAGAAAAGTCTTCAGATGCACAGAAGTCTGATGTGAAGACGACAGTAGATCGAGATTCAGGTCCAGTTTGGATTAACGAAATTATTCAATTGTTTACATAACCAGTATCTCCATGCTTCCATTTTCAAAAGTACCAGTGATGCTGTGATGAAAATGTACTTTGTGAATTGTAATTTTCTAAAGTGTCAAATTGACCTCCCAAATTCCCAAAACCCTAGCTTTGCAAATTCACAAAGAAGCGAAAATATCTCCGGAACCTTTTCGCTCGAAAAACGTCGGACTTCTTCGGCGACGGATCACTTGGTGTCACACAATTAGTTGTCCGTCAAGCATAGTAGTTGAGAAACATAGGTATTGATGTAAATTAAGTATTATTTTCTTACTAATACCTGTATTGTGAATCGTTTTGATGGACTGCTTGGAGCAGAAAGATACTGAAGCGACGGCGCCGTCAGTTATCGACCGATATTACACACGCTGGTACAGAGCAGGTAAATATAAATGTTACAGTTAGCCATGCGGTGGCTAACTGAGCTAACGTTAGTTGGACTTCAAACCTCAGGCAGAGTAAACATGTTTTTGATTATATTACCAATATTTACAAGTTAAATGTGTTGTTTTATTTAGATATGAAGGGGAACCCGTGTGAGGACCATTGCATCCTACAGCATTCAAACAGGTAAGGTAACAGGGGTATCATGGCTAACTTAGAATTGGTTTAATTACATTTTATGTTAAGACACGAGGAATTAGCTTTGGTGTAAATGGTACAAACATAAACACAAAAAGAACACTTTTTATTTTAAAAGGATAAAAAAATAGCACTAATATAAAAAATATTGTTCATTGTTAAAATACAGTCAATAATTAACACACACATAAATATGCAAAACACTGAGCAAAGTGAAATATAATTTAAAGTGGAGAGCTGTGCAGGTTTAAAAAGAGGTAGTGTGAAACAGAAATGGGTTTACAGTCTTAAAGGTCCCATGTCATGGCCATTTCTACTGATCATAATTCCATTGTTGAGGTATACTAAAATAGATTTATATTGTACAATTTTCCAAAATCTCATTGGTTTCTCATACAGCATCTCTGTATAGTATGTGTATTCACTCTCTGTCCTAAACGGCTTGTTGGAGCTCCTGCCCCTCCCCCTTCCTGTGAGCCCAGTGGCCGCCTGTGAGACCCAACCCAGTAAAGACCCAGCCCGAACACACACACACACACACACCTGCAGCCTGGCTGGGAGTTTGTGTGTGTGTGTGCTCACACACCGACTCGCAGCCTCGTCCCGCCGTCTCAGGGAGGAGAAATGGGCGGAGCTGCAGCTGAGAAAAGATTGAGTATGTGTGTGAGGAATTTGGGTATGGGCACGTCACTGTACCCAGGAAGAAAACAATGGAAACTAGTCGTTTTGGGGCAGCATAGACAGGTCTTTTCTGTGTTAGAGTTTTACTCGCTACTCGGGATGGGTATCGTTAAGGTTTTAATGGTACTACTACTTTTATCGATACCGCTTATCGATCCGGTCTTTTAACGGTACTCTTATCGGTTCTTTTGGAGAAAAAGGTAAATTAACTTAACAAATTGTGAACAAAACTAACATTGCTTTTTATTTAAATTGAATAAATAATATTTCACATCAAAAGAAACAACAATGTTTTTTAACAAATCGTATTAAATTATGTGATGACAGAACTGTAAACAGAATAGCTGAAACTTTAACAAACTAAATAACTCAGTTTCCTCTAATCATTAACCCATGTTTGTATAATGTAGTTAACTCTGTGTGTTGCTGCTAGCATACATAACACCTGAGGTGGAAAAACTACTCGTGGATGGGGCTACAGAGCTACTAGAAAGACAGTCGAACCCGGTGCATTCCTCCGTCTGGATGTGGAGCACTTTTGCTAAATGTTTAGACAAATTGCTCGTGTTACCGCCCTTACATGCTAAACTCTTATTGCACTATTGGTAACGAGTATTGTCCACATCGAGATGGGTAAAGTTTAACCACACCTCGGAGCGCGTTTTCTCCGCCATCGTGTGTGTACTGCCTCGCCCCCTCGCAAGCAGGCAGGGGAGAGAGATCTCTCGTCTGTATTGGAAAGATCGAAATACTAAAAATAATCATAGACGCATTTTGCAGTCTTTTTGCGTATTAGAAACGGAGTTGGCGACACTAAAACTGCAATATAATGTTTGTGTAGCAATAATACATATATTTTTGACATGTCCCCAGTACCGATAACGTCGGAGCTTAACGGTACCACGGTCTTTAATAATTCAGCCCCGGGGCCCGTTTAATACCGGGGCTCGGTACCCATCCCTACTCGCTACAGGGTGTACTTTGAAGGTTTGTGACTCTGCAGACCGTTTACATGCGTAAAAACCTTAATAACACACAAGGGGACAATAACTGGAAAAGCATGACATGGGACCTTTAAGAAGAATAATATATTGTTTTCATGATATTGCATAGTAGGGGTGTAACGGTATCCGTATTCGTCCCGTACCGTCGCAGTTCGGACGTCACGGTTCGGACGTCACGGTTCGGCACATGCAGTCACACGGCGAATACGCCTTTTTTTACGAGTGGGAAAAAAGTCTGTCGCTCAGGGCAGTATTACACTATATATAATCCAGGGGGCGGTATTGCGCCTAAAAGCCAGCCGCCCGTAAATAACAAATGAAGAACAAGAACAAAACACAACAAAACGAACCCTGAATACATGAAGAAGAAAAGTTAGTAGCTATGGCGAGTTCACACAACACACAGGAGCTAGAAGATCCACCTGCTTCTTTTAAATCAGGTGTGTGGGAACATTTCGGGTTCCCTGTGGACTACAACAATGATGGGGTGCGAGTTGTGGATCGGAGGAGGACGGTGTGTCGGCGTTGTTCGACAGCGGTGCGGTATGCTAGTGGTAACACGTCAAACATGCTCAATCACATCCGAGTCAGTCCCCAGCGAGAGGGTTTTCTCGACGGCAGGTGACATAGTTACCGCCACCAGAACTGCCCTCACTACTGACAACGTAGACAAACTCATCTTTTTGAAGAACAACTTGAAAATAGAGTAAAGCTTGAGTACCTTTATTTAGGCATAATGGCCTCACACACTCACAAGTGAATTACACATGTTAGACATTGCTCCTAAAGGTACAGATTGTATTTTGTTTTATATTTATCATTGTATTTATTTTATATTTTGACATCAGGAGATGTTATACAGTTCTGTATTGCCTTTTATTGATTGTGATTGAAACACTTTTTTATTATTTATTTTAATATTTTCAAGACATTCTTTTTAGTTGTACAGCTTATTGAACCTTTTTGTTTGACATCAGCCATTATAAATAATATGGCCATCTGAGTGTGTGTGTGTTACTGTTTGTGGTTTGTTTTTAACTGTGTAATACAGTTAATGATTCCAAATGTTAGAGTTCCTTATTTTCATACCAAAACTTGCACTACTGTTACAAATAAATAACAGCAAAAAAAATTATGCATTTGGGACTTTTTTTTGCTTTTCCTTTATTGTACCGAACCCGTACCGAACCGTGACCCCCAAACCGAGCTATGAACCGAACCGTGACTTCTGTGAACCGTTACACCCCTATTGCATAGTGTTTTTATGGGGTGGTGTTGTAGTGAAATCCACACATGGTGGAGATAATTGCAAAACAAGTATTAATAATACACTTAAAATCCTAGGAAAAACACGACCTAATTGTTCATTTTTTGAAGAGACTATGTTTTATTGTATCAATGTGGCGTGAGCCTTTTTGTGTTAGAATTCAATTATTTGAGGAGTTTCCTCAAATATTGTTTTATGGGGGACTTCAACACCAGAAACAACTTCTATAAATATCCATTAATGGCACACCAAATAAACATCAACAACATGTAAGGTTTCCAAATAGTGAAGTCCTCCAAAAATATAAGGGTTTTAACAGTTCTAGTCGTCCACTATTATGAGTTGTTGCAACAAACTCATACCATATCCTGTCTCAAACTATCTTCAACTGTATTCACTCATACTTATTAAAAATGACTTCCATTCACTAATATTGTTAACTTGTGTTTCTTCTCTGCAGACTGTGTGTTATCACGTTAGCCGAGACTCACCCAATCCTTCAGGATGGGCGGTCAATCAAAAGCATCAACTACCAGATCAGTGACGGCTGCAGTCGGCTGAACAATAAAGTGTCTGGGAAGTCCAAGCGGGTAAATTCAAAAATACTTTATAAAGCTACAGATGATTTGGATTTCCGTGCATTTATTTCTGCTTGTGTAGCTACCCTCAACATTGTTCAGCTTGGCCTTAAATGCCTCTCAATCTTTTTTTCCCATCATAGGGGGGTCAGTTCGTTACTGACTTTGCACCTTTGTGTAGGATAACATGCACAGATGAAACTGAATACACAATCTACAGGTAAGATAATGGTTTGTTTTTCTAGGCATATATTTCACATGCTTGTATGCATTTCATGATAAGTCACACAAACCATCATCTTTTAGCTGCATCCGAGGCCGTCTTCTGGAGGTCAATGAGAGTATTTTAAAAACACCCTCTCTCTTGCTGAAAAAGGTAAATATACATTTGTAACTGTAAAATCATCTCATGTGCATATCTGGATACCGTGTTTATTGTCAAGTCTAATTGTGTATTTGCCCTCTTGAATTACACAATGTCAAAAAACACATTTTGAATATTTAGTTTTCTGTCTATATTGTTAATGACTGCAAAATAATAGTTCCTCTTCCACAATCTTTGAAGTTTCATTTTATCTTATCAAACAAATGTTTCTAAATGCTTTGTCTGTCCAACGTGAACAGCCCTTCACTGATGGGTACATCGCTGTCATCTTGCCAAAGTTTGAGGAGAGCAAGACCATCACAGAGAATCTTCTGAGCAGAGAGGAGTTCGAGAGCATCGTCTCCAAACGTTCTGTTGCCGAATCTCAACCATCATGAAAGAGTTCTACTTGTTTAAGTTAAACCCGCTCTGTCAGTCCTGCCGGGTTGGGTAAAGACTGAATCCTGGAAAGAGACTCGCATGTGGTCAAAAGGAATACTGCATTTAATGCAAGCTTCGCCCTGTGCCTCTTTACTCTTATTGTTTTCTTATGTTTTAGAATGAAGGAGGTTTCAGAAGGCACTTTTTTTCAAGTTTGAAGAGGAAAGCATGACAAAGTACTTGGATTCTGTTTGTATAATACCAGAAACATATATACTTGGGTTGAATTATTTTTCTAGAATGTCATTAAACAAAAACAGCAGTAATTTAAGAAAAAATATTGTTTATTTTTGTATGTGTCACTTTTATTAACCTTTCAATTGTCAAAAGAATAAATGGTCCAAAACTAGATTTCTTCACATCTGTAGCTGTACTACAATACCCAGCATCCTTAGCTGCTCTCACACCGTACAAAGCTTAATGTATGTTATTCATCTGTCATTATCACACCATCACCTAGTACCAAAGTCATTAACTTAGGATACATACTGTATATATATACATATATCTATGCTTCATGTACCATATTATACATACCATTTAATACATATTGGCCAACCAGGCAGCTTCACAATAGTCTTCATAACAAGTACACTTCAAGGCTCCATTTGACACAGGTGCCAGTTCAAATGATCTTTCATTTTCTTTAGTGAGAAAAACAATGTCTGACTATACTAATGATAGGATTTCATAAAAGGACAGTGTAAAGTAAGATCCTGACATCCCCAAAGCATCTTGAACTTTATCTTCCTCTGATTTGGAGAAGCCAGGACCAAATAAAATAGTTCTCCAGTGATGAACACTGAGGTGTAAGAGCTTTATATTTCACACTAGTAGCAAGCTGTAGATCACAGCGTCTTTATGAGGACGCTCATATTTGGCATTAAAGACTGATTTTGTTGCTAACGTTCCATGGCAAACTATGGAAATAAACCTTTACGGTACGTCCACACAGCGGCTTTGGAAAAAGCTTGCCGGCGGGCGTGTCTGAAGCTCGACCAACAACCAATCACATGAATCTCCCGCCCCTACACACAAGCAGCGGTTTGATTGGCTAGAGCTTGTACTGGCATATGATTTGATTGGCTGACGCTTCCACCGAAAGCTTCAGAAGATTCAAAAATTGAACATTGCTCAACTTTTGAATCCTGGAAATCTTCGCTTTGCTTCCCACAATGCAGTTCGGCGAAAAGTGAGACAAAGTGACGTCACCCCATTCAAAGTGAATGGGCAGAAGCGTTGGAAGCTTTTTTTAACGCTGCTGTGTGGACGGGCCGTTAATCATACGGTGTGGTTGACTTCAAAATATGCATTAATCCAAGTGAGATGACTAGAATGCCAGTGTTCAAAGACAAATGTATCACTGTTTCATACTACACAACAAGTGTTAACATTAAAAAGCTTTAACACGTAGACCATAAGAGACTCAAACACAAGGGTTTGGTGGCGATGGCGTCATGCACGATGGGTTTTAAGCAGGTAACTTTTTTGTTTTTTTTACCCTCAATTTGGCTAACATGTGCAACACGTTTACAGTACACCACTAAGCAAATAGGCTTGTTACACAGAGGCACATAGTGAAGACAGATGTATGGCTGAGCTGAGCATTAAGAGGAGCTCTTTTTCAGATTTTTGATCAGTTTATCACCTCAATATTCAGAGAAGTGATAAAAGTGACTCAAAAATCAGGTTGTGTCAGAATTCTCTCTCTTGAAGGAGGCTCGCTGCAAAAGTCATAGCTGATTGTCTCCATCTTGTGGACTGGGGTGGAACTGATCTTCTGGTTAAAACTGCCCCTGAGCACATTGAGCTTGAATCTGCCTTCCACTTCATCATCCAGACAGCAAATGCAAGCTCCTGAGCCGAGGCTACCATCTTCACACGCTGCTTTAACCCACTCTTTAGGGGTGCATGAAGATGAGGGGAGTGAAGAAATTTTCTGGATCACCTGTTCTCCAGAAAGGTGATGTTTGCTATGTGCTGCTCCAATGGAGGATAGTGAACAAAGGATTATTTGCTCTCCAGGATGTTTAAAACCGGCAATGTGCTGCTCCAAACATTTGACACCAAAGCCATTGCTGTTCTTGATGTGGAGAGCCCCCTCCTCTTTGACAGGTGTGGATGCATCCTGCCTCTCTCTCCAGTCCTGCGGGGAACCCAGGCTACTCCTCTCTGACTTGTACTGCAAACAGACAACATCGAGAGGAAATATTTAAAAAACGTAGGAACTTGCAATCTTTTAAAACTGTTAACCTTATATTTTCCTTATCTGATGTTATGCTATTTTTCGACAAGTGCAAAAATGTAAGCAGACACTTTGAGCTATTAAACTAAATCTTCTTAAGGGTAATCTTTACAGAATTCGGAGCATATCTATGATTAAGGGATTGCCTCCACACATCTCTCAACATGGCGATGGCTGAGCTGGCAACTGGCAGCTAACGGTGCCATCATCACTTACAGTGCTAACATTGCTGACAAAACTAACATTGCTATCTTGAGCAGTGGCGGTTCTAGACCAATTTGACTGGGGGGGCCACTGGGGGGCCAGTTATTTTCTGAGGGGGGCACAATAAATGCAGGACGAAAAAGAGAACTAGACAGTATGAAGTAATTGCGCATAAGAAAACAATGCAATACAGTTATTGGTATTTGTTTCAGTACACTTATTTATTTCAGATAGATCTTATAGTTATTACTGTTAGCTTCAGCTTAAGTTATAGTACAATGTTTGCACTAACACCATATTTATATAAAAATAAAGGCAATGAACAGTTACATCTCTACTTTACATAAGGGTGTCTGCACAATCTCACATTACAGCAACAAAAAAAAAATGTCATTGTTAGGGGGGCCACAGAGGGGTCAGAGGTCAGTGTTAGGGGGGCACTGGCCCCCCCTGGCCCCCCTAGAACCGCCCCTGATCTTGAGGGTGAGCCGGGGGTCTGATATAAGCTTCAATCATCTAATGTGAGGCTGGCTTTGTAAACAAAGCACAGAGAAGCTTGGATTACAACACAGAGGGAGTATGACTTTAATCTCTTTTTAGGAGGATATTACTCAACTTTTTCTTTACTTAGCAAATGCCGTTTTTTATAAACTTTCAAGCCACTAATGATTCATTATATGTCCACGTTATGTTCACAGTTTGTTTCCTCTGCCCCTAAGTGGCCAATAAAAGTGTAATCATATGTTTTGCTTCATAAATGTGTTCTAACTTGCCAAAACACAAGTGCCAGTTATTCAGTTACGGAGTCCTGTTTAATCACCTTTTTGTTGAGCTTGTTGCAGAATGGGAGGAGATAAAGCACCACGGTCAAGATACCTCTGGTTGCCTGAATGGATGAGTCCACCTATCGACAAAAAAAGAATATTAAAATATATAAAATATAAAGAACTAGAATGGACATGCATTGAAAACAAATGCACAAGAGTGTACACACAGCAGCCTATCAACCACACACACATATTACTACTTTTCTGATCAGTGCTCTCAGACAGACAGACAGACAGGCAGACAGACAAACGCTCTCCCATTAGTGACAAATTATAAAGTGAACATCAGGAGGGAGAGACAGAGAAATGGGAGTCAATACATATCAAAGAGACGCTCATTAATCAGCAGAGGACACGCTATTTTTCATCCCATCCTTTTGATTCAGACCTTCGCCTTTATTACAAGGTGACCTGAGTTGGCTCATCCCTGCCCAAGATGCTCATTAATTTCTCCCAGACACTCATTAATCCAGTGCTCTGTGTTCGATAATGGTGTTACTTGCAGATCACTCAAATATTAAGCCGTAGCCAGTAATGAAGTAACGCAGTTAGTCATGCCCTATTGTGTGCTCACTCAGTGCTTCATTGATGCCGTTCTATTGTCCGGGATTTAGTTTTGATGCTTTTTGAAGCTAATTATCCCTTTAAGTAAAAAAACTAGCGCCTGCTCTGGACTTTCTGTGATGTTACTAATTTGATGTCTACTTAACACAACAGACTCACAGGCAAAAACAAGCCATTAATTCATTTTTTCTAAAAAAGCTTTCACAGAAACAAACAAGACAAGATGGAGACACACAAGGTAGTATGAGTACCTTCTGGAAGGTGGCAGTCTTGCCCTGTACGGGAGTCTTGCCCCCCATCTGCAGTTGTTGGCAGAAAGCCACCACTTTCTCCATCTCTGTCATCACCACAGACTTTTCCTCATCAACCAGCTGGAACGGGAGAAACACAGGAAAAAGGGAGAGATTTATTTCGTGACAGCAAAGATGGTTTATGATGGTTTATCCAGGGACATTGGGTTAATACGTGCAGCCATTTATAGACCTACTGGACTGGATTTACAGTGCTGTTGTTCAACCAAGCATCAGAAAAGGAGGGTGAAATAAATGTTAATTTAGTGTAGCTTGATATAATCCATCAGCAACAGCCAGGTCATGATCTACTGCTTAAGTCTGTTATCCAGCTGGGTTAATCCCTTGATCTCAGTCACGGGGGCCATCAATCTACTTCACTTACTCTTTATTATCAGGGTGTACCAAGAAGTCAGTCAAGTCGCTTCAGCTGATTCAAAATGCTGCAGCTCGTGTACTAACCAGAGTTAGGAAAAGGGACCACATTACTCCTGTTCTGGCTGCCTTACACTGGCTCCCTATAGAACACAGGATAGAAAATAAAATTCTTCTTCTCGCCTACAAAGCCCTTAATGGGCAGGCGCCATCTTACCTTAAAGAACTCATTATACCCTACTGTCCTACTAGGGCATTGCGTTCCAAGAATGCAGGGTTGTTGGTTGTTCCTAGAGTCTCTAAAAGTACAATGGGAGCCAGAGCCTTTTCTTATCAAGCTCCACATTTGTGGAATCAGCTTCCAGTTTGTGTTCGGGCAGCATACAGCCTATCCGTTTTTAAGAGTGCGCTTAAGACCTTCCTTTTTGATAAAGCTTATAATGATAAAATTAAAATAATCTAATAAGAGTGCATTGACGTAGTGTAGTGAAATATTTGTATGTATTCATGTTAGCAAACTATGGATAAGCTTAAAATGGGAATAATTTGGGTAAAACTGTCAGCTGGATTTGGGGCCTGTTGACATGTGTTTTTGAGGACAAAGGAAGATGGGGGAAGGTGAGAGCATGTCTTGATTTGCATTCAACTTAGATCTTGCTACAGTGATTGGGGAAACCTAAGGTCTGAGGTGTTAGGGATATTTGGGGCTGCCAATCAAGGAGGTCCAAATGGGAGGATCTGATAACTCCTCCCATTGTCAAAGAGTATAAACACAGACACACACGCGGTGTTCAGCCTCTTTCCTCTGGCTGGCACACGTGCAGGTAAATTCGGGATCCCAAAGATAATTTGTATTGAATTTGTACTGTATTGATTGTATTGCATTGTCATATTACCATTAAAGTAGATTATTGTTTACTTGGTGGCACTGGATTCCTTCCTGTATTATAACCAGCTTGATAGGGACGCGCGGAGATTTGAAAAGCGGATCAGTTATCCCTTTAAATCTCTAACAGTAGATACATTGTGCCTCTTCACCTATAAATTTGAGTTCTTACTCTTTCACTTAAATCCTAAAAACTTAGATCTTATCCAAAACCTTTCCCCTCTCTGACCTCTCGAGGTTCTATTAGAGGGTAACAGGTTGCAGAGAAGGCCTAGCCCGGCCCGGGAGTGTGGAATGTAGCCACAGACCTACTTCCTTACCTCTAACCAATTCAGGTTCCAGTGGGGACCTCTCTCCCTGTGTGCCTCTCCACCTTTGTTTCCTACTTCTTACTTGCTACCCTTTTCCTTCAACCTATCCTAAGGGAGTGCATGTATGTAGACACGTTAGTTTAGCTGCTATAGGCTTGGACTGTTGGGAGGGGCACCTCACTCTGTCTTTCTGGCTGTTTGTACCTGTGTACTCTCATGTTCCGATTAACCCAGCTTCCCCCAAATCTCTTTTTTGTGTCCATATATATGCCGGGAGTCGAGGCTAATCCTGTTGCTGTGGTCGTGTGTCCTCTATCCTGAGTACTGGGTCTGAGTCCTGGACTTCGAGTCGTGGCTGAACCTGTCTCTGCGGTCCTGCCTGACTCTCATCATACTACTTCCCTGATGGCTCCCACAAGATTGCTGACATCCTCGTGGATTCATCTTCTTATTATAGACACATGCATTTCCAAACATTTGGACTACCTATGTTGTAAATGTATTATCTTTTCGATTTACACACGGCATCTATTGCACGTCTGTCCGTCCTGGGAGAGGGATCCCTCCTCTGTTGCTCTCCCTGAGGTTTCTCCCATTTTTCCCTTTAAACTGTGGGTTTTCTCTGGAAGTTTTTCCTTGTACGATGTGAGGGTCTATGGACAGAGGGTGTCGTATTGTCATACTGATATTCTGTACAAACTGTGAAGACCACTGAGACAAATGTAACATTTGTGATATTGGGCTATATAAATAAACATTGATTGATTGATTGACTTACATGCCACTAGCGACCTAAAAGCACAAGCTCTTTCATTCAGTGTAGCACTACTCATGACTGACAAAAGTATATAAAACCTCAATTACAAATGCTCAAGCTAATTTGCATAAATAGCCTCATCATTTCAATCAGGGCATCGCAGGTGTGCTACAACAGCGCATAGCGCCAAAGAAGTGAGACAAAAAGGGTGAGACTGAGGGACTCCATTAGCACCAGTGTGTTTGATGTAATTAATCAGAAAGCGTGAGGCAAGTTGAAGAGCTGGGCCTCCTCATTATTATGAATTAGTCCTGGGCGGTGGCAGTAAACCCCTCCACCCTCGCCCCCTCCAAACATGCACAAACATACAACCCCGCCAACGCAGCAGTGACAAATGGCAGTCGTTAATGGCAGTCAATAAGAAGCGTTTAATTACGCTTGGAGGACCTGGGGAAGTAGTTGGTGGAGGGCAGGAGGAAGGAAGACACCGAGGCGACATTTGTTTGTTTGATCGCGACTCAGAGAGGGAAAGGGGACGGTGAAAGTGTGTGACAGACTTAATTTCCTGCTCTCGCTGTGTGATTTATAAGGCGGACCTGGCACCGTAGCATGCTAGAATTGGTGATAGGAGTGTGTATGTGTGTGAGAGGCGTAACAAGGGGTGGGGGCCCAGGTGCTAGTGTGTGTGTGTGTGTGTGTGTGTGTGTGTGTGTGTGCAAACAGATGCAGTTTTCCCTATACAAAAGGTTGTTTTTCCTGTTACTTGTTTATAAACCCATTTCTATAGCTTCTTATTAAGAGACTATTGTCAGATTCCATTAGAGAAGCAAGAACACAAGGTGTCCAGAAATATATATTTAATTATGTTTAATATAGTCAACTGTACTCAACAGATAACTGTCCGCCTTTTAAGTAGGACATATTGAAATGACTTTGTGTAGAGGGCTTATATTGCAAAATAATGTGTGTGTGTGTGTGTATTCAAGAGAAACAGAGAGATTTATGCATTGATGTGTATATACCTGAGTGGAAAAAGTGCGAAAAGATGAGCACAGCTGGAGTCCCTCTTCTGAGAGTACCTTTAAAAGGAATCAGAAAAAATACAAAAATCAAAAAAACGTACACAATAGCGTACAATAACTTTATTTAATTTAAGTTCCACCAGAAAGGAGCTCTTGATAGTAAAACAAAACAAAAGCACAGTAAATATGACTTTTTCCTGCTGTTGTTATCAGCCTCGTCTCTTTCCCCTCTTTTCTCTCTTATCTCCTTAGCTTTCCACAGATGGAATAAATCTTGCTGACATTTTGGGCCCTGATTCTACAAATTACTGAACATTATCGGCAATAATCCTAATTTAATGGATACTATCCTCCATCCTCCATGCACCGTTTGTTATCATGAGCACACAGCACCCTCTTTCCATCATAATGATAAGTCCTACTAGTCATGCCCTATCAGACACAAGGTGGAAGGGAATGAAATGATAATGGCATTTACTAATCTATCGATCTTCCAGCCACAGTATGTCTCCTGTTTAATAAAATAACAAATGCATTCATTTGCAACATCGACAAAACGGGAAGAAAAAAAAATCAGAAGGTGGACAGAAGGAGAGATATGCACGCACATACCTCAGCTTGATGAAAAAGATCTAGTGTTGTTTTCAGCAGCCCCTCCCCTCTGAGGAATCAATATGGGAAACACAGAAAATGAGGAAAGGAACAATGCATTAGAGAGATGGATGTGGACGAAATACATCCAAACAATCATGAATTGCAACCATTGGGAATGAATCATAGTCACGTCAACTGTGTCAGCACCTCTAGCTATGACTGGTAAATATCAATAGCTAAGCGCTTGGGAATCTTATTAACAGTAAGCCTCTAAAGAGATTAATGTGGATGCTTAAGAAGCTTTTCAGTATTGAGCTCTGAAATGTATGTAACAGTTTAATAGGAACGTGTGCGTGTCTGCGTGATGTGTAGAGCTGATGTGTCACCTGGTGAACAAGTACATGTTGTAGGCCATGCTAGCCAAGCTCTGGCTCTGTCGGACGATGTTGTGCTCCTGCTCCTCCCACTTCTCCACCTCTGTGTCCACGTCTGATGACAGCAGACGGAGCTCCAGACCCAGCTTGGCCATGCTGCTCTGCTCCTGAAAGCACACAAAATAATTCAATATAGGAAAGTCTGAAATATGATGTATGTCCTTGTCATACATTTGTATTGGTAAAGAGGGTTATTTTCATTTGTTAACACCATAACAAGTTCTATAATCAGCATAATCCCGCTTCCTGGTGTGGTACAGCATGTGAGAAACTGCCAACCCAGCAACATCGCAGCCTATTAGCATTAGAACACCATCAATTTCTCAAGCGAGTGACACAAAGTTTCCTGGAGATGAATATACTGCTGTCAGAACAGGAAACAGGACGTGTCATGATGTATTGTCCTGAAATCCAGAGGAGTGTATGATGTATGCTACCTCTGCATCCAACTTGACAGCCTTGACAGTCTTCAAGTTAGCTGTGTGTTTCTGTGTGAAAAGAGAGTGGCATTAATCAGAGGATTACTAACCATTTGATGATTGGAATATTCATGAGGATGGCTGTGTGAGAAACTCACCCCGGCTCTGGGAAGTGACAAATAAGATCTTTTTTCTGTAAAAAAAGAAACATAAAGCAAAAATAATCACATGTTATTTCTCTTTGAAATTGTAGTACTGCAACTTGTTTGCTTTTAACACTATCCATCCTTGGCACATCTTTATCTTTCATCACAAAAAAAGAGCAGCATGGTTCATTTTAACCTACTACAAGGACGATAAACGGATGTTCACGGGGAAGTTCATGAGAGAGCAATAAAACCCAATCTCTCTACTTTCACATACTATTTAGGCTTTACAGGACTATAAATGTGTGATGGACGTGATCCTTTCAACCTGCTGAGCTGCACTTCCAAATGTTTCCTGCGTTTTATGTGAAAGTCACATGCCAGGTCTTGGAAATATGCCAAAAACATCTTTCCCCTGTCTTTGAGATTTCTCAGGCTTACAGTGTGTGAAAGCACAAGGTTGATACGAACACACATGTTTGTGTGCAAGGACAAATGTAAAGTAGATGCAAATAAACACACAGGTGTCAGTAAGGATAACATCTGAGAGGCCATTCATGATTTGAACACTTTGGGTAACTATAAAGATTGAATGGAGAGAGGGAGAACAGAAGAAGAACGAATGCATGGTGTTTAATGGCGTTTCACAAAATTCTTCACAGTCAATGATGGTACATTTTTATAAGATATGTGCTTGCATGTGCTGCTTGCTGCTTTAACTCGCTATTGAAAATGTTCAAATTCTGCGTGTGCAAAATTATTCACCCAGGCTTTTATCTGAGACTTTCCTTCTTTCAGGCTAAAATGCCATTGGCAGCACATTTGGCCTTCCCCTTTTCAGTCTTCCTGCAAGACTCTAAGTCTTATGTATATGCTGACCCTCCTAAACGCACACATTAATAGAAAGCGCACCTCGCCTGCCTTCAAAGACGTCGTTGATCTCTCTCAGCAGCAGGGCCATGTCACAGAGCTGAGACTCCCACGCCTCGCAGAACACCTCCAGGTTCTCCTTAGCGATCTTACTGGACGGGTGGAGGGCCAGCGTCTGGGCTGCAGAGATGATCTGAGAGGGAGCGGGAAGAACGAAGCATGAGAACATTTTAAAAGTTGATTTGTATGGCAGCGTAAAATATGCAGGCACAGTAAGAGACAGAGAATCTAGAACAAGGAAACTCACTGTGGTGATTTTCGATTTAATTAGCCGTTGATTTTGATCTAAAAGTGAATCAAAGGGTTGCTCTGAGGTTGAACACAAGGTTGGAAGCAATCCCTTTCAAACTTACTGAGGAAAAAGAGGAACTAACACTAGACCACAACTAAGGCAAGCCATCAATATGTCTAATATGAATGTTTTAGCAATGTTAAAAGCTTTGTAAGTTTGTTTTCTTGATGGGTTGCATTCTCAAACTTCTCTTGGCTGTGGGTATAAGTTGGCTACACTTCTCTTCGAATCCTCGTTCATTAAGACCGGAATAATGGATGATAGATTAAACCACCGTCTTCCCTCTCTCTGGCTTCACATCAGAGCCTTCGTTCTACTGCTACACCCATTACATTGAATACTGTTATACTAGAAACTGCCCCCCCAAAACATGTGCAGGTAGGAAATAACCTTACCCAGAAGAAGCAACTTAAATACTGTACATATAACAATAATATTAGTACTTCATACATATTGCTGTCAATATAATAAAGAGTAACTTCTGATGCCAAAAATAATGTCAGTGAAATAAGCCAGACTAAAAATATATAAATAACCATAGCAACTCATCATACAGCTTTATAACACACAATTCAATCAGATGTTTACTAAAAAGGTTAGATGCTATAGATCAGCATATCTTTATTGCATGACGCATTATATGCTTTTCTGAACTCAAGCTTGCGTCATGATTTAAAAACACATGAAACACTATTATATCGGCAAACAAGTCTGGTTTAAAACTACAGCTACTGCGCACACTTGCATACACACACACAGTGTAGTATTTAATAGCCAATTACCCTCTGGACCACCCCTCCATTACTCTGGGCAGGCAGAGACGTATCATCGCCGCCGCCTCACATTGCAGCGTTATTGATTGGTTGACCTTTGAACTTAGGAGTGGAGCCATCACTGCAGGGTCACAGGGGGCCTGACATTCGCACCGCAGGACGAGAACATTCTACATTGCTGGATAATTACTGGCAGGGATGGTTTCCAAGAGCAAACATAATTAGATTTAGCAGAGCGAGGACGAGGTGGACAGCTTGTTCTCAGGTGGAGGAGACGGGAGATCATTTGTCTATTCTCTCTCCCCTCTATGTGTAAGTAGGATATTGCTCAGGTGTGATTTCACTCCCAGACCCCTGTGTAACCGGTTTGATTTGATTGATATGCAATTAAAGTGTTGAATGATATGGGTTAGGTTAAATGAAGGTTGCCCTGTATAATAGGGTCGATTTCAAACTAACTAAGGCGTTGTGTTTTACACAGATATTTGGGGTCAAATTCACACACATACAACAACTAAATGTTACCTGTGGGCCAATGACATGGAAGGTCTCCTCAGCATGTATACAGGTGATCTCCAGGGGCTCTGTCCCCGACACATGGCACAGCAGCCGACATGTCTGAAGTAAGAGACACAGAGGAACCAATTTGTGACCAAAAGTGCTTCTGAGGTTTGAAGACACTTATAAATGTTTACATTTGCTGTATATTCTACCTTACAACAAATCTAAACGCTTACTGGCAAAACACAAACATCGGTGATCTCACCTAAGTGGGTGAATTATATATATTTAGCTGTACACAGTAACCTAACCACTGCATCGTCATAAATGTAGGTGGATTGAGGTCATCTACACAAAAACCCTTCAATATGTATGATTTAAAGAAGCATAAAAGAAAGCCACACTTTAATGGTGGTTTAGCTTTCCTTTAAGTGCAACAATAGTGAGTGAATCTTTAGTCTGCATTGTTAAGTTTCAGACTGAAAAAAAAACCTTTTGTATACCTTTTTATGAAACTAATCTTCTAGAATAATCTAAAAATAAATGTTATTTCAAATGTTCACATTACACAATGTCCCTTTTCAAACTATACTGTGCATTCAGTTTGTCAGGGCCACCAACAAAGACATGGCAAAGCCTGCATGGCATTTTCCTGCTCAGTGTTTGCACAACAAAGCCTCATGTTGACTTTCATTCGGTTGAGGATTAGAAGTGTAGTCTAAAATGTCATTAATTTCAAACTGTGTGTGTAGAAACTTTGCAACTCATGGAGAACTAGCTTTCTCTAAAGACATATTTGTTTATCCTACGAAGATAAATTGATGAAATAAGTCAAATATAAACTTCACTGTTCTTTCTCTTTTTCCAATTTCAACACCTCAAATAGGCCCTACTGTTAAACTTCTCCCGACCTCCCTGATTCCTTTCCTCTGGCCTAAGTACCTCCACCAGCTGCTCCTTCTGCTCGGTGAGGGTTCGGGAATACTCGGCCACTGCCTCCAGGTTTCCCTCGGCTCCTGCTGCTTTGAGAGCCCGCAGAGGCAAATGTTCCCCGTGAACTTTGAGCAAGTCAGTGGTACGACAGACAGTCACCTTATGGAGCTGGAGGAGGAATGAGGGATCAGCATAAGAATAATAAGAATGGGGAGTAATGGAGAAGAGAATGAAAGTTGAGTGAGAGACATAAACGAGAGTGGATTTTGAAAAGGCTGAGATAAAAGAAGAGAAGCACAGATGACACAATGACACGAGTTGATAGAGAAACGTCAGGGAAGCTGAAGAGCATAACTTCTAGTGATGAAATGTCATATCTGTGTCTCACTCTACAGGAGACAGAGGAAAGCTCACCTCACGTCTGAGGTCATTGAGGCTCTGACATGTCTTCAGGATGGCCACCTCCATGCCCTCTGTGGCTTCTTTGGCATGGACAGACTGCTGCTCCGGTGAGACAAGGAGAGGAGGAGGGAAATAAAACATGAGACCCAATATGGTTTTACAGTCCCACACACACATCTACATTATTAACTGGAAGAGTGTGGTAATAGAAAAAGAGTGGTTTGGAATTCAATTTATTGATTTTGTTCTGAATATGCAAAAGAGAGCCAGACATTTCAACATGTAGGTTTGTGTAATGAAACAAGTAACCATATCAATACAATACAACCATTTTAGACCCATAGCTCCAATGGGAATAAAAACTATAATTGTTTCTCAACTTTCCACAAGCATCTAGGCCACAAATTGGACTGTGCAGAACACACATTCAGATGTGTGTGCAATTTAAAAAATATTTAGTGGATGGTCTTTTCAGTTCTCAAATGAACCTTTAATTGCACAGGCTAGATGAGGCACAACTGTACAATTATGTGGCAGCAGTCAACAATGTTGACTGCGGCATTATGTTTCATGCTCTTCAAGGACAAGGAGACTGTGCTGAATGGTAGCAAGATATAGAAACACTACGTGATGTTTCTCCCTCGGCTGAGTGAGCCTTCATAAAAACGTTATTCAGTTAGGTTAATGTGCTCTGTTCCACGAGGGATGTATGAAAATAATGTGAGTAGGCAAAAATAATAATTGGGTTAGCTGGGGAAGAAGTCTGGGTCAGTGTATCATGCTGTGTGTGTTAAACAGACATTGACATGTGCCTACAAGACACACACAAGATATTAAATATTTCCTTTTAGTTTATCACCAACTCCCCATCATTCCTGCCAGCAATTGTTGACAACAATAATCCATTTAACATCTCTTCTTCTTTGCTTGGATAACTCTATTTTGCATCTTATTATCATATTTCTTTTACAAGTGTCCTACAGATGAGGTACTTATTATTTTTCTCCATATGGTAGCATATGTTTTTATGAATAATCCTGTAGGTGTATGTGTCTCTCTGCCAGCGTGTCTGCTCTGGCCAACGTACCGCCTCCACCCAGGCGTGCACCAGCTGCTGAGTGTCCTGCCGGGCCAGCTGGCACAGACCCAGGATGGCCTGCCGCTGCTCGTGGCTGGTGTAGGCCGAGTCAGTGAAGTCCTCGGTCTGCTCCACCAGCGCCTCCAGCTGGCCGCCCATGCTCTGAGGGGACAGGGTGTAAAGGTTCTCCCGCAGGCACTCCACGTTGGACTGCAGGAGGAGAGATGGGAATTAGGGATGTGAGTTGAAGAAAGCAAGGCAAGGCAAGTTTATTCATAGCACCTTTCAACACAAGGCAATTCAAAGTGTTCAAAATGGCATTTAAAAACACTCATTAAAAACCAAAGATAATAAAATAAACATTACAAAAAAAGACATGAATAAAAGTTACAGTGCAGCGTAAGATATGAATAGTTGGTACCACTTTACATTAAGACTACCCTTATAAAAGAGTCATAAAGGGTTTTATAATTAGGTTATGAATTAGGTTGAAAAGAACCATTTATAAACCAGTTCTAACATTTTCATACATCAACACAGGCTCAATATTTGGCAAGATGACTAAGCCTTATATTGGCTACTTAGCGAGAATCAACTCTGTGAACAACAGATACCAAGGATGCTGGCTGATGAAGAAGACGAAGTAAGCTAAGTAGCCAATATAAGGCTTAGCAGTACAGATAAATGTGGGCTCACTATTTGGCAAGCAACCAGTCACAGTTGCCCTGTTTATCCCATGTCTTATAAAAGCTTATTAATGATTTATAAAGTGTTCACAACCTAATTAATAAATTAATTACAAACTATTAGTAAACCCTTTATAAGGGTAGTCTTATTGTAAAGTGGTACCGAGTAGTTCAATTAAAATCAGCGGCAAAAAGAAAAGTCTTCAGCCTGGATTTAAAAGTATTAAGAGTTGCAGCAGACCTGCAGGTTTCTGGGAGTTTGTTCCAGATATTTGGAGCATCATAACTGAAAGATGCTTCTCCATGTTTAGTTCTGACTCAGAAAGTAGACCAGTCCCTGAATACCTGAGAGTTCATAATTTAGCAGGAGATCAGAAATGTATTTTGGCCCTAGACCATTCAATGTTTTATAAACCAGCAGCAGTATTTTGAAATCAATTATTTGACATACAGGAAGCCAGTGTAAAGACTTCAGAACTGGAGTGATGTGATCCGCTTTCTTAGTGTTAGTGAGGACTCGATGAAGCATTTTAAGGATTGCTTGAAAGATTAATGTAGTTAGTTTTACTAAACAATGACCTCAAGAGAAAAAACGAATATATTACCTCATCACCAGTTTTGCACTTGACCTTGTCATTAAATAACAAGGATTGTGGGATGTGTGTTGAGTCTAAAAGGCACCTTGGGCCATCAAAGGTGCCTAATAAATTCTGCAAGCAGAATCTCAAGTACACAAAGATGAGAGCTAATGCATTTTTTTCTGTTTCATCCTTATCTTTTCAACAAAGAAGTGTCTTTTAAAGAGCTATTTGTCTCTGCTTATGTGTCCTCAGAAGACAGGTTTACATAAGCTTTTAGTTCAACTCTGCCATTAAGAGCTACGAAGCCATTTATTAAAAGCAGTATGCATCTCTGCGCCCTTTCATTAACATACTTTCTTCTACTTTCATCTCACTGGCAAAACGTTTTTTCTTGTTGTTGTTTTTCTTTCATTTGCCACTGCACGGAGGAGGGAGAACATTAGTCATAGTGATGTTGATTTTTGGTCACTCACCAAACCCTATTACTAAATGATAAAATAGGGAAGTCTGGTGCTACATATTGATTCTCTGAGTTACATTTGAAGCTGTTGCAACACGGTGATGCTAGCATGTTAATGATGCAACCACACACCAACCCTCTCACAGAGCCACTATAGTATACTTGTTTAAAACCATGGTATTTCTTATTATTGATATGAATTGAATAGGTCTCTGCCGTTCTTGATACTGATTTTTAAACAGAACGTAGTGTGAGCATTGGGGTGAGAGTTCATGTGTTTGAGCATGCGCAGGCTGTTCTGAAGTTGTTGTGAGAGAGAATTGAAAGTAATAAATGGAGACGGTGTTTGTGAGGCTCCACAAGTACAAAGTTCCTGAGTTTTCGTCACTCAGAATTATCTTTGAAGCCCTAACACCTCGGACGCTACAGTAGCATTAAGCCACAAGAGAATCATTTCTGAACTTCACAAATACCTCTAATACTGAATCCAGTTCCTAATCCTACCTTGAAGTCCTTGATGCCGTTGTAGATACTGGCAGGGAGGATCTTGTTCTCCCCGCAGCTCCGAGCCTCTGTGACTATCTCGATTACTTGCTCCAGGGCACAGCGCATCCGCTGGAACACGGCGTCCTTGTTGATCCGCGCCGACTCGCAATCTGGGTGCCTCAGGCAAGTCTTGGAAAGGAATTCGAAGTGAAATATCAAAAGTTCGTTCCCTCTCTTACTCTTTTGAACTCCTACCCTTTTCATGCCTTACAACCACCATTATTCACTCTCTTTGTTTTTTGAATGATTACTTGACTTAGAGTATTACCATAGATCGCGGCATTTGAGAAGCCTTGAAATGAAATAAACTTGAGAAGGCCATTCATCTTTTAAATTCATAACCCTTGCCCAAAGGTTCAGTGTTGGAGTTTACCTTGGAGGCTGTGAGGAGCATCATGGTGCATTTCTCCAGCACTGCTCTGGCCGCCGCCATCCGTGCTTTCTTCTTCTCATCCTTTAAGTCCTACACACACACACACACACACACACACACACACACACACACACACACACACACACACACACACACACACACACACACACACACACACACACACACACACACACACAACACACACACACACACACACACACACACACACACACACACACACACACACACACACACAACACACACACACACCACACACACACACACACAACACACACACACACACACACACACACACACACACACACACACACACACACACACACACACACACACACACACACAACACACACACACACACACACACACACACACACACACACACACACACACACACACACACACACACACACACACACACACACACACACACACACACACACACACACACAACACACACACACACACACACACACACACACACACACACACACACACACACACACAGATGAAGCTTCCCAAGTGAATTATCTCCTAATAAAAAGAGACGCTTCCAGAATATGAAAGAAGATGTGTGTGTGACCTGCAGCACCCCCCTCCATGTATCCCAAATCAGAAATAGACAGCTCGAATTAGGTATTTGGGGATTTGGAAAAGGCAGCTGAATCAACTCCTCTCCCATTACTATGCCATAGATTGCAAAGATGATGTGATTATCTGTCATTATATTTGTCTGGCTTCAATAGATGAAGATGGTGGATTTTCTAAAGGGCTGTGTGCTTGTGGATGTATAAAAGTGCATGAGTGGGATTGAATATGAGAAAAAATTACAAAGAAAACCAGGTGGCAAATGAGTAAAGGGAGCATTAGCTGTCTTGCGTTGGGGAGAGACGTGATGTGTGTTTCAAAACATGTGTTGTGAACAAATTCAAAAAGACGGATGGTCGATCCTCTCCCTGTCTAGATATCGCAGACGGTGCATTTTACATCAGCTTCTGCAGGCAAAGCGCTTTAGCTGCAGAGGCTCAATGTATGCATCAAAGAAGGATTAGCAGTCTTTGACAGAACAAAGATAAAAACCCTTAGTTGGCCTGTTTTCCTCAAACTTTAAGCAAAAGTTTTGTTTTGCATATGTGCTATTCCCAAAGCTGATATTTGCAGACAGAATGCATCTCTGAAAGCATAGGTCAGTTTACATCAATAATGAATTATGATGCAAACAGTGTTTGAGCAGTATGAGTCATAACTGACCTGCACATTTCCCTTGTATGAATTGAGACACGGATAAGGAAAAAAACAATAGATACCCAAAGAAAGAACAAATGCTTTGAGAAGAAGCTTCGTGAGTTCATTATTTTGTGGTAAGAGTAAATATTTGATGCCTGAATTATTGATTTCTTAAGTGCAGCAGGTTTCACAGTCAAGTCAAAACCACTGTAGAGTACATCTACATGAGTGAGCAAAATGTACTTGGAATTGATTGAATTAAAGTACATCACCCAATGTTTATAAACTAGACTATATCCATATGTAAGACCACAAATACATTTCATTTATTGAATAAAACGTTATAATGTGCTGACAATTTAGACACTTTAAACCAACAAGAGTTGGTTTCTTCACTTGCTACTCACGTTCTGTCTGTCTCCAGTGAGGTGGGCAAACTCCACCATCTCATTGCCAAACTGGCTGAAAATCTGTACAAATTCCTGGAAGGTGCTGACTCTTTCCAGATGGTCGAGGGTAACAAGGACCTAAGAAGAATGGAAGATCAGAGTAGTAAGGTGAAAGCCCCCTTATGGTTGTGTTCTTGAAGTCTTTGCACACTGAAACAACCTATTTCTGTTATTGCAAGATATCAGCAGGAGGGACAAAAACAACCCTGAAGCCTTTCCTCACAACAGAACCAAGAGTAAAAGTCATTGGACTGTCATATATCAATATTTTAGATTTGTTTGCATTGCATTTGGGTTACTCCTGTGTGACTATTTAAGTGTTCTCCCAAAATAAATTAGCAGATGAAGTCATTCCAAACCTGCATTTTAGTTAATAGCAGTCTATGTAGATGCTGATTTAGCTGCAGAGGGCTAGCTGGCAGCGCTAACGCAGTATCTTTTATCCCCACCAGACAAAGAGGAGGAAGAGATGTAATTGTGTTTGCCGGTAATGGAGGACAGGGGGCTGTCGACTGTCTGTCCAAACGAGACTAACCAGTCCTGATAAGGCCCCCTGTTTCCATTCTTGGCTCAGTCTACAGCTACATCCGTATCACACTGTCTGGATAAGAGCATAGCCAGGTACTGTGGAGGGAGAAAGTCTCTTGCTCTACGTTTTTATGTGATCACTAAATGTAGTGTTCCATCCAATTACCTCCAGAGTACTCCTTAAGAGAGCCAGTGCTTATCTATAGGAAATAAAAGGATCCAGGATGGTATTTGCGTGTTTTATTTAATGGCTAACTTGTTGTGTGTAGCCTATGTGTGCAAGAGACTAAGCAATAGAGCTTATCTATATCATTTTAAGGAGGTAGTTAGTCTCACCTTGTTGCGTGATGTGATTATCTGTTTGATGACGATGCGGTCAGCCAGGACCAGGACTTTAGTGACTGAAGAAAGGAGTAAGCGTGCAGCCTTCACCATCCCGGTCCTATCATTGAACACTGTGCCACATCCTTCTGACTGGGATGGAAAGGGTGATCCCGCGTCTGTCAGCTGGGCTATGGCATCACCTAAATGAGGAGAGAAGGGAAGTGTTTGGTTCAGCAACAGAGATAGACTGATATACTGGCCGGGTCGATATATTGTATTTCAGTATGGGGATGCAACAATCGATTCAATGGATATCTGCATTGTACCGATCCCGAACTAGTGCGCTTTTTCTGTATAAGGCTTCCCCTCTGCATTGAAATAACTAGGAGCAAACATAACTTCAAACATGACAGCTCAAAAATATATATGTTTAACTCTAAGTGGACATACATTGAAGATTTTTTTTAGGCTTGTGCTTGTTTTGATTACATTGAGTTTGACAGTTCATGAGACTTTTGGTTGGACTGAGAGCTTCTGTCTGTCAGATGATTCAGGAAGAGTCCAGTTGAGGAGGGCGACTCAGAACACGCCGGAGGGTTTACAGTTCCCATCTGGCCTGAGAGTGCCCAAAGGTTCCCTCTGAAGAGCTGGAGGATGTGGCGGCTAGCCAGAAAGACCTTTAGGCGACTTTGCTTTGCCTGCTGCCACTGAGATCTGGACCCTGACAAGAGGCAGAATATGAAAGGATGGGTGGACAAATGATAATTTCCTAAAGGCCCTCAGTCAGACAACACAGCAGCATGATGTCCTTCCAATCTGCCACTCTTCACCTCAGGGAAAACATATCGTCCTAGGCAAGATGAAACACAACGGTACTATATTCAGCACAATGTTGTGACAGCTATGCAAGCCTGACCGAACACTAATGGCATGCTTTCTGTGTGACATGTCACAACTAAGACCCTCACAATTTATACATGGACAAAACATGCAAATGCGAAATATTCGTTGAGCATCAGACTTTCCGTTTTCTCTCTAAACATGAAATCCCTTCATCAAAATAGTCCCTAACAAGAAGAAAATGTCCAGAGTTCAGGGTAAGAGGGAGGAGAGAAAATCTCTCAGAAAAGAGGGGGAAGGGTATACAGCTAGGTCTCTATCGGGTCATGCAGCTTAGCAGTCTTTTCGGTTTGGCTGTTTTTTTAAAGAAAGCAGCACTGACAAACTGATTGCATCCGACAGGCTGCTTTTTTGGTGCCAGCTCCGCTGATCAGTTAAAACATCTAGGCCTGGCTGGCAAAGGATGCTCAACCCCCATGACACTAGCATGGGGGAAGATGGAGCCAACTTTACCCTTCAAATCCAAGAATATGAATGGTTTGGACTGGGGGATGGATTTGCATGAGCTTATATGTAAAACAGAGAGTTGGTACCTTAGTTTTCATTAATACTAGAGACCTTTGTAACTCTCTAGAAGCATCTGTTCCCTGTAAAAAAACATCTTGTTCCTACATTGAAAATCATGCTTCAGGTGTAATGAATTATCTTTCTTTCTGTTTGACATAACGATAGATTTTATTCATCAGTGAAAACTTGAAAAGGCTGATCCTGGATGTGTTGGTGCAGCGCTTGTAGTAAATCTTGCATTTCTCAATTGAGGGCAATGTCTGTCTGCATGTTAGTCGATTGCATTAAAACTTGAGAAAGATCTTTAAGCCCCCACAGGATTACTTTGTTGATTCATTCACTTTTAATCTAGAGCTACAACCAGCTGAACTTTTTGATTTGTCAAATACTTTGGTTTATAACGAAATACCTTCAAAACTAATCCTACTCTGAGTTTATTGCTAATTAGCCAACACTAGCATGCTGAGAATACTAAACTAAGATGGTGAACATGGTGAACAGTGGGTGTTTCTCAATGTCGAGTACGCTTGCTTGGTAGGACATATCTTCCGAGTCACTTGCTTCAGAAGCGAGGCAAGAATACTTCCTGGCATTCGGAAAACGAAGAGTGGAACAGGCGAGCAAGTGTGCAGGTGTGCGTCATATGAGAGGCCCCGCCTTACATTTTCCGCCACAGATTTGGGGAAATTGGTCCGTCCGCAAAGCATTGTGGGGATTTGAAGACCACGGAGTCTACACATGTGCAGCTTCGAAATTTCTCACTACGAAGTAGTAGCTCGGTAGAATTACAAGTATGCTGGACATTGGAACAGTCCTTCGGCGGCACTCGATGACATAATATGCTTGAAATAGTGGCTCTGGAGCAGCTTTACTCGACATTGAGAAACACCCAGTATCTCTGCTACACATATACAAAAGAGTTTAGCTCAAAGTATTACAAAAATGTTTTTCTGTATAGTTTATACATAATTTATGAGTGAAAGCTCAACAAGGTAAATACTTGTGTGTTGGAAAAGTGTTAAGAGGTAATCTTATTCCCATGTTTTACCAATTGATTGCCTAAACATGTAGTCCAGTATTAAAAATACTGATGGACTGTATGAGCTATGGTTTTATTTTGATTCTTCCTACAGTCATATCTTGAATCTTAAGATATGAGGAGAAAGATGAAGTGAGACAGCAGTTTGTGAATGTGAGAATGACACTGAGAGACTGAGTGAAAGAGACAGAGACAGAGATCCAACACAGATTGTCTCCACTGACCTGCCTCATTGGATCTGTTCACCGCTTTGATGACGGGCGGCATCTAATTAAAGAGTGCTTTCAGCCTGCCTTTATTTCATTCATTATAGCGCACAAGGCTGAAGCCTGCCTGATTAAACTCTCCCTGCGGCTAGGTATTAGAGAATGTCAATCCTTCACTAGCCTTTCTCTCTCCTGGATACTAACAGCTTCAAAAAAGTATTATTTTTCATCTCTGAAAATGTCTATCATTATATGAAATGGTCAGAGAGACAGCAAGTGTTGGCTTTCTTTTTAAATCAGTAAACTGTGTAAGGAATGCAAGGCAAAACTGTGAAAACGCCTTCCTAAGAGAGGAGAGTGAGAACTAGAATAAATGAGTCGCAGCGGGTACACACATCCAGACAATTGCAAATGCACACACACATAGGCTTCACTAGGCCTCACCTATACACACATTCACACGCACATTTTCTCATCAGTCTTCTCTCCCCCTCCCACCAGCACTTCTTTGTCAGAGTTTAAGCGTCTTTACAAATCAACGCTGTGTGAGGATTAAATGCTCTGCTATACAAGCTGGTTCCCCCAACATAAACCTATTATCACAATGTTGTGACTAAATTCTTATCCAGTATGATTTTGTTTCCGCTGTGCTCTGCCTGATAAGAACTAAGTTTCACAAGCAAGTGATACCAACTATCTAAACAAGAAAGTGTAAGAAAACTTAGAAAGACACCAAGATACAGGGTTGACGTGTGCCTTGGGTGTTTTTTTGATTAAATGTTAATAGCTAAAGCTTGTAGGAAAGTGTAGAAACACTGAAAGAAACACATTTCTGACAAAACCATCACCTCTTCTGTCTAGGGTTCAATAAAAGCTGACAGTCCCATAAGAACGATCCACACATTCTTGTTCCTTCACACTGGTTGTCACTGTTTCCACCCCTCCCACAACCCTCTGAACCTTTGTCTCTCTCAGTTGTTTACTGTTTTGAACTCGAAATATCCATCCATGACATGTCTGACAGCACACATTGGGCGAGAGGCAGACCTCACCCTGGATAGTTTGGCAGTCTATCACCTAACCTGCATGTTTTAGAATTGGAAGGAAACTGCAGAAAATCAGATGTGGGGAGAAATATAAGCCACACACAGACAGGCCCAGACAGCAGATTTAAACCCTGGGAAAGAAATGAGGGGTCTGACCTCAGGTGGAGAAAAGTTCTCTACGTAAATCTGAAGAAATCTATAAGGCAGTGAACATCGGGAAAACTAAAACTTTCAATCTTGCCAACAGCCTGCCGCATAAAGTTTCTAAAAGTGTTTTTTAAGAACTTATTATGCAGTGCTTTTTCAAGCCAGTGCAGACACATTTGCTCCCTCTTTCTAAACAGCACCCTTAGGTGAAGAAGCCCTTTTTGCAGCCTTTACTTCCAACCTAATAACAACAATGTCTTTAGAACACTCTGGAGGTCCTCTGGTGTAATAGTGTCTGTCAGCCACGCTGTCCAGACAAATCGAAACCTGCTTAAATTTGATAACACTTTGAAGCCCCAAGCTGATGCCTGATGCTTTATGAAACTGTCAGTTTATCTTAACAAATAAACACCGATAAGTCTTATTCACTGACCAGCTAGAACAACCTTAATGGACATTTCTGAACACCCTAAAGCCATGGCAATGTATGAGGCAAAAATATACAGTGTTTATGAACAAGACTTTAGAATTTCAGTTTAAAAACACAGATGTGACCACAAAACAAGGGCTGTTTCTATCTACCCCTGAAGAGAAACACCAGACGATGTATTGAGTTGCAGTGATTCAATCAAATGTTAGGCACACAAAGTGATTCAGCCAAAGAAACCCACCTGCCCTGCGAGCCTCGAAGCAGGCTTGCCCCATCTCATCCTTCAGCTCTTGGTTCTCTGAGGCGATGGCCTCCCCAACGGCGACAAAACGTCCCACAGCCACGCTCACTGCCTGGCCCACCCTGTGTATGGCTGCTAGGGTGCGCTCAGACTTATTTGGCTTGTCTTTATGGTTGATCAGAGTTGTGATCTATGTGGAGAAAGAAAAAAGGGAAAATGTTGACACTATTTATGTAGGAAGACATCTCAAAACCTGGAGGAAGTTAAATAAATACACTATTTTAATGGCTGCATAATGCCTCTGTAGAATCATTCATTCTTAAAATATGCTGCGATAAAAACTGAACACTATCTTTGATAATAGAACATGTTTAGCCTGGAGATCGCACACCATCTGCTTATCAGGAGAGAGGAGTTTCCAGCATCCACCGGGAGAGAGGAGTTTCCAGCATCCACCGCTACAAGTAGAGATAAGGTTTTGGAAACGGCACGTGGATAACCTACGATGCGTGTCAGAAGGAGGGTAAGCAGTGTGCGAAATACCCGTCAATAATCGGGGGGGGGGGGGGTTTCCCCCATCTCCCGTTTATTGCGCAATATACCGGTCTAAAATAGATTTCTCAATATGCAGTAGGCCTATACAATATTTCATGGATGCAAGCCAAGACAATCAGTAGTCTATAGCAGCGTTTCTCAACCGGGGTGCCGTCTGGCGTCTTCAGGGGTGCCGTCAAATAATTCTATATTCTGACCAGTAGCGTGGCGTGGGGGAAAATGTAGGGGAAGCCCATTTTTTGGGTCGGGGGGCGGTCAATAACGTAACCAGATGAGTGATTACAGCGCCCGGTATCATTTTACACACATTTGTATCACACAGATGCAGGACTTGCACACGCCTGTTATCTAACCGACAGGTCCGCACGCACTCTCCAGCTGAAACTCTCTTCTTATTAATTTAAGCATTTTACTTATTAATGTATGCAAACAATCACACAATCTATGTGATTTTTGGATTTACCGTGCCTCTCAATTGCCCGTGACAGGTTGGCAAGGTCGATGAATCCTGAAGTTGCCCAAGTATTGTTCAGGGAGCACGAATCCTTGTCAAAAAGAAGACATGGCCAGCCAAATAGACGCTGAAGTTTAGCGCTTCCAGTTAGCCACTCTGTGCGGACATAATTGTCCTCATTGAACGTCCGATTATCTCCCTTTTTCCTCTGTGTACACACAGCTCGAGTACGGGCATTGGCCTGTCATCTGATTTAATTTTTAGTTGCTGCTGTAGCGGAAGTTTAGTAAAGTTATGTTTGATTAAGTACGCCAAATCTCCACCCTCCATAATGCTTCATTTGCTTGATAATTTCTAACGGCGGTGATGACAGTTACAGTATTAAAACTGATGTTGATGTGATTTGATTGGATGGCAGTGTCCAATCAAATCGCCAGCCGCCAGCCGCCCCTGAAGGGAAGCTAGAGGCGGCTGGCTTCCCTTGGCATGGCCCTGACCAATCACAGGTTGGCAGGGGCATCACGTGGGCCTCATCTGATTGGTCAATCCCTCCATTTTTTTTCACCAAAGGAAGCCAGATTCGGCTGGCCTCCTCTCGCAACAGTGAGTGCAATCTACTGTTTCACCATGACATCTAGAGGGGCGCTGTTTGTTTCACTCTTTGTAAAATACTCAATGAGAATGGGGGAGAGACGGGCCGGCAGCAACACACAGTAAAGGAGAATTATCGAAACAAAACAAAGTGTTTTTATTTATTTATTTAAATTATAACTACAATCCGAAAAAACAGAGGAAGCCTGGCTTCCCTTGGCCTCCGGGAGAAAACGCCACTGATTCTGACGTTCATATGAATGAATGAATGAATACGCGACCGTTAAAGAGCCGCTTAAAAACATTTTAGTGACCATTGCAAGTGACAAATACATATCATAATTTGAGACCCCCCTGTCATTTTGCTGTTGAGGCTTTCAGGTGCTAATCAGGGGGGGTCGAGCTCCCCCGGACCCCCCCGTATTTTGCACACTGAGGGTAAGCATGTCAACAGCACACACGCATCCTATCTCCAAATCTTCTTACACACCATTTTATAGCATTTCCAAAATGAGAAGCAACAAACACAGCAGATGGGACACACGCGCACTACTTCTGTCACATACAAAGGACAGTCCACCACTGAATACAACAACACACACACACACATTAAACTCAGGTGGGGCCTCTTAGTGATAATTGGGGGTATGAATTATGAATGGAAACAGTCAATTATCATCAATTATTCATTGATGGCTTTCACTCTCTCCAGCTGTTATCATTGTGGGTGTCAGTGTGTGTATGTGTGTCAAACCATTTGGGTCAGGGAGTGGTGGGTTGGGATTTTAATTGGTCCACAGCTGCAGGTGGTCAAAGTGGGGAGTCTTTAGCAGAAAAGCCTTTGAACACGTGCTGGTTCTGTTACGCTCAGATGGCTCTTTCAACACGCCGCATCTTGACACAGGACTTTTTTTCCCACAGAAGTGAATGAAATGCTTTGAAATGTGTTCAGATATGTTTGACAGTGTATAACACAATATCCCTGAAAGGAGAGTGGAAAGGGTTTTTTGTGGGTCAGCAAGTGACAAGTGACAGGTGACAGGTAACACACACACACACACACACACACACACACACACACACCACACACACACACACACACACACACACACACACACACACACACACACACACACACACACACACACACACACACACACACACACACACACACACCACACACACACACCCGAGGATTTTGTTATCTGGGCTCTTCGTTTGCTTTATAATGAAGCTACATACAGTTATGTAGGACGATTGTTAGTCTTTTAGTACCACAGTCAGCCCAACAATACATGCAACAACCAAAAGAGGCTTTTTGTAATTATTTTCTCAATTTCTTCATTATTATTTTCAATCGATTGATTGTTAGCTCAATAAACATCAGAAAACAGTGAAAGAAGACCAACAAAAGCATAGACTTGTTATATTTGAGAACCTTAGCCCTCGAATGCGTTTCATTTTGGTTTGAAGGATGTGAACAATAATTGTGTTTATTTTGATCGACTTGTGATTTAAAAGTGATGAAAAACAACACAATGAAAAAGCGATTAAAAAGAAAATAGAGTACACCAAATGAAGCTGATGCTCCCTCGTTCTTCCTCTTCTATAACTGCCCCTTTTTAGTACCATCTCTGTCACCAAATGTTTGAAGAAACACTGTAGATGATAGAGGAAGTAAAACTGCTTTTTCCAGAGGTATGTCTTGTACTTTTAACTGCTGTACCAAATTTGAAAAAATCCAACAAAGATCCCGACCCTGAACAGGATAATAAAGCAGCTCATTTGGCCCGTCACTCTCCACTTTATCATCCGTCTTCTTTATCTTGGTGTTAGAGCTTCCTTCCCTGTGAGCCCAGAGTCACCCAAACAGAGCAGGACACTCCGGAGAGAAAACACAGACACCGGCTGGATTGATGCAGCCTAAAATAAGGGCCCAGTGCCACATGATTCAGAGCTATGTCATAAACAGACTGTCGTAGAACGTCATGTGGCATTTATGTTATACAAGAGACATTTCTGTGACGTAGAAAAGATTTAAGGATCAGTCTATTCTTGTCTTTTTGCACAAATGAAGTGCGTATGCATGGTATTTTTATGTCTGCAGTGCCCATGCATATCTGAATGCAGAGAAGGGCATGGTTGTTTTCCCAGATGACTTGTACAAGCAAATGGTGACACTCATGAACACTGAGGCTGGCACTGATCCATTAACCAGTGTTAAAGGACATGGAAAGCATGAGGGAGGAACTTAAGTCTGTGCATGTGTGAAGGTACACACACACAGCAGCACCTGAGGCTCAGAGAGAGAGAGAGGAGAGGGGAGGCAGCAAAAGAAAACCTGATTACAGATCTTCCTGCGCTTCTTCTACAGGCAGCAGGTGAACTGGGGGTGAAGTAAGTTATACAAGTTTAACGCATCGTGTCTGTGAAAGACAAACAGAGAGAAAAAGTCAGTGAGTTAAAAAGATAGGCAGGGAGAGAGAGCGGAGAGTAACGACCACTTTGGATTTCCTCCATGTACTAGGTGGGTACGTTTTCTGGGCTGTGCAAACAGGAACAGAGCAGGGTGGGGAGAACATAATATTGATACAGTGCCATAGCAGCAGAGAGGCCATTGTGTGTGTGCGTGTGTGTGTGTGTGTGTGTGTGTGTGTGTGTGTGTGTGTGTGTGTGTGTGGTGTGTGTGTGTGTGTGTGTGTGTGTGTGTGTGTGTGTGTGTGTGTGTGTGTGTGTGTGTGTGTGTGTGTGTGTGTCAGAGGAACTTGTGTCATTTTCCACAGACAGAGAAAAGAGAACACTCATTCTACATTTGTTAAAGCACCCTAAAAAAGAGGATTACATTTCAAGTTAAAAAACAGGTTATTACTGCTGGGTATCAAGTGAAACCTTTGGATATCAGAGTAACCAAGACTACATAGAGGGCCAGACATTACATTTCAACTTTCAGCAACTTTAGTTGATATTTTGATACTCTAGACTCGCATTGGTTGATAACAGCTTCACCCCTTACAGACACCTGTTGAATCATTAAAGCTGCCTTGAGGCAAAATGCTGGAAGTTTACTGTATATTTCACTGCAGCCCATCAATTAAAAACCTCTCCTCTCCATTCATTCTTCATCTCTCTGTTTCACACACATCCTCACTGCACCATGCTGCTGTGCTCTGCTGCACTCCAGCAGTGTTTGAATGCCAATGAGCTCCACCAACCAGGCAGCATCCGGCCCAAAGCCTCCACAACTCCACTGAGGATTTGCAGGATTTGAAATATGTGGCACATAAGCAGAAATGTTGTTTTAGATGCAAAGTCAGACCTCGGTCAAGTTTGTTTATTGAGAGGGATAACTGGTTATGTCCCCGGTGTAATATCGGCTTGCAAAAAAAAAAGTTTTAATCTACTTTTTAATGTAATAAATGTGGTGGGCAAATTCAAATCCTGACCAACCCCTTATTTCTCCCCAGTACACATTCAGTCAATTTCCAACCGGCTACCTTTCACCTCTTTGTTATCCGTAATTAGGAGGACAATTACAAGGCTAATAAAAACAAAATCAACAGCTTACTCTGAGTAACACAATACACCAACAG